AGTTCCACATTTGTCTCTATTTTGATCAAACTCTTCTGCTTTAAAATTATTATTGTACGGTATATAATACTTATATATATAATATAGAGAAAAGTGCAAAAAAACCCCTGTGCTATTGGGAAACTTGCAACTAACCCCCTAAACTATCAAAATTGCAAAAAACCCCTGAACTATACAATTTTTTTGCAGATCACTCCATCCATTACTCTTCCGGTAGGATCCGTCACTGTTCCGGTCAGATTTTTCCATCACAGTGACGACGTCATTGACACTATAATTTTAATGACTATAATACCCTTATGATCTTGAAAAGACACTAAAACCCCTTATTATTGTAACCATTAAACCTAAACACCCTTTAAAAACCCCCAAACACTATATATATATATATATATATATATATATATATATATATATATATAGTTACAAATTATTGTTTTTCTTCTCCGCAATGCGCATGATGGAAAGAAAAAAAGAATCTTTTCTGTTAATCCTCTGTTACCAATTCGAGATAATCTCAATACATCCGAAATATCAATATAGATAAATCTTTTCTGTTACTAATTACACTCCTAATATAACTCAATCATCTTTGCCAACAATTATAAATACAGACCAACCCTCTTCTCATTTTACTTCACTTGAGAAATTCTAATCGCTTTTCGTTCTTATGTGTTTTTTTGGGTTTTTTTTTTTTTTCTGTGATTGATTGTGTGAGTTAGAAAAGAGAAACAGAGATGGAGATTGATCTATCACCAAGATTGGTGAAGAAGTTGTACGGAGCCCATGGGGGTGCGTACTACGCATGGTGTCCCAATGAACTAGCCACGGCCGAGCCAATATCCAAGCTTTCCACAGCTGGCCGATTCTAGATGCATTGCCCATCACCGGATCTATCTCACTGGTACACAGCCGCGCTTCATCACAAGCCACCGTCATCACCGCTGTGCCAGTCACTGAGTATTATCGCCTCACCGGAATTGCGACTTCTTTAATCGCTGATTCGCTGCCGTCGCCACCGTTGCGCCCGCCCATCGTCGGTGCACCGCTAAGCTCTCCCCATCTTTTTCAGCCGCCAAACTCTCACCATCGCAGCCCGTTGCTCACTGCCCCAAGCTCTCCACGGCCGAGCTAACATCTGAGCTCTCCACTGCCGGCCTATTCTAGACCCAATGTCTATCACCGAATCTGTCTCACCGGTGCACCGCCAAGCTCTCCCCATCTTTTTTCAGCCGGCGCCTCCATCTTCATAGTTGTGCCCTTTTCACCAATCATCCCACTGTTCCTTCTTCATTTGGGATATTGCAGAGAAATCTTCTGGGTTTGCAGAAAAATCAGTTAAAACGACGTAGTTTTCTACTAGGATAAACTGGTCTTTTACTTTTTTCGGCGTCCGAAGTTGACGTAGTGGGGTAAAATGCAACAAAATAATAGTTCATGAATTTTTTTGTAGTTTAGGAGGGTTAGTTGCAATTTGCCAATAATATAAGGGTTTTTTTGCACTTTTCTCTTTAATATATATATATACACTTGTTGCCGTCCTTCGCGGGAATTGCACCAAAAATCCATTACTAACGGCATCATTGCCGTTAATTTCGGCTTTTTGCTTGAATTTGGGGTTGGGCCTTGGGCCAATGGTTTTTTTTTTTTTTTTTTTGGATTAACCCGAGGTGTTCGGGATGGCACGAACCCATAGGGCCCCTCAATAGCCCGACTAAATGTGACAGCAATTTGCTGATTTGTCACAGAATGCCGATTGGAAAAAAAGATCATTAAAGACATTATCAACAAACGCATAATATTAATAACAGTGAGCATAAAATCTAAAGAACAATACTTGGGTTTAATTTTTATTCAATTTTGCTAATGTAACTCAATAAAATTGTGACAAGTGAATTGGTGTTTTGGATTTCGGATTAATAGAATTTTAGTATAAAATTTAAATTAAATTTTGGGTTAAGTGCATTAAACCCCCCTAGACTTTCTTCTATTTCTCAAAAAACCCTCCTGAAGTATTAAAAAGATAGTTTAACACCCCAAACTATTCTATTAGTTGCAAACTGTTAGTTACCGTCCAAAATTTAACGCCCGGGAAGCACGTGACATAGATGTGATTAAGCAAAATTTTAGAATGGCAAAAATAACCTTATGACTATTAAATAAATATTATATAGAAATAATGTATATATACATTACTCTCTTCCATTTCCATTTATTTATTTATATATATATATATATATATATATATATATAAAACGCTGCATTTGCCGTCCTTTCTCTCTCCAACGACCTTTACCATTTGTCCATGGCCAACACCACCACTGACCATCCATGGCGCCACCACCACCGCTCTCCCTTCCCCCACAAAGATGCTTCTTCCCTCAGAACCACTTCCAGCTCCACCATCTATGGCTGCCGCCACTCCCTCTCTCTCCAATCTATCTCCTTCTCTTTTTTATTTCAGTTTTTGACCTCCAACTCCGACGATGACAAGAACGATGAAGGGGTGAAAAGTCAGTCAATGATCTGAAAGTCGTCTTCAAGCTGAAACATCGCTAGTTGGAGCAGATCATCGGCGTGGCCGAGGCAACAGGCGACGGGCTTCTCAGCGGCCACGGGAGTCCTGATTTGAATTTGCATGATTGTACACATAGAGAGTACTACATTATACATATATAGTCCTCTCTTAAACCTCCACTCTTCTTGTATATCTCCGTTCTTTGTTCCTCGTCATTGCTTACTTGAATCACTTTCTCTCTTTACTCTATCTCTTTCTGGGTCTCTCTCTATTTTGGTTGATCTTGGTTGGTATTCAATATGCCCTTCCCTTAATTGCTTTTCCAATCATGTTATAATAATACAAAGCTTGAATTTTTGAGTTGATTGAAGTTGTTAATGATATGGGTATTCTTCAATTGGGTTAGATCTGTTGATAAATGTGTTTAATTTTCATTTTCAGTGCCGCCATGGGAGACGACGTCCATGGATGGGGAAGAAGCAAGAAGAAAATTTGTTATATGTATATATATAACAAGTATTTTTACTTATCAAATATATATATATATATATATAAACAAGTATTTTTAATACATTTAAATTAGTAATTGAGCTGTCATCCTTTAATTGGAGGGAATTATTTTTTGTCCAGTCAGCAAAATTATTGATTTAGATAGGATGACTAGTCAAATTTTGATTTGATACAGGGATTACAAGTGCCATATCAACACTCGAAGTAAAGAAACGAGTAGTATAATTAATGGACAGAATGGTAATTTCATTTCTTACTTAACGGTTGTTTGATGGTGTGGGGTAAATTGCAACACTCTTATAGTTTAGGGGGTATTTTTTAGTTCAGAGCGGTTTTGTGCAATCGGTCATAATTGAGGGGGGTTTAATGTACTTAACCCTTAAATTTTTTTCAATATCAAATTTAAGACACTATTTGGTATTCAAAATATAACATAATGAATTCTGAGGAGATGAAATCATGTGGACCTCATGTGTGAATATTTATATGTAATTCGCTTAAATTTTCAACTTGTATAAAACAATGGGTTGTAATACCGAATTTGAAGGACAGATATATCCAACAACACTACATAAATGTAATTGAATGCCTCCAACTTTCAAACTAAGTATAACTACTCGTCATTGATGTTTATACAAGTTGAAAGTTATCCCCACTGAAAAAAAAATTCAAATATATCTGATTCTTCGACTATTTATTATTTTTCTTGCTGGCTTGGCACCTGTTAATAGTCTTTGTGCAATGCACTTTGGATTGACTTAAAAAAAAAAAAAAAAAAAAAAAAAAAAATCAACTTGTACAAACATTAAACACTTGACCTAGGTTTGACAACTCTGGTTTGGATTGACTTTTCTGACTCTCTTCTTTTACTTTTTGAGCGCGGAAGCAGTTTACTAGTGTGTAAATAAATGACTTCCGTACTATGTATGTTTATGCTTTGAGTAATAGTGCATGTACTTTAACTTGTTGGGTTTTATAGTCATTTTATTTAGGAAACTTTAAAAGTTTAGGTAAAAGGGAAGAATAATCTTTGCCTAGGTTGAGTTTCAAAATATGAAAATGAGAAAGACAGCCAGTTCAATTCATTTATCTTTATTAACAATTCTGATTCAAAAATAAAAGCAGTATATTAAGAAAATTAAGAATGCTTCCTTATTTTTTTTTTTTATAATACCAAGATTTGCCATAAGAAGCCAGAGGTTTCCTAGCTCGTTTCAGAAACAATGTACATATATATATATAAATATAATAGGAGAAACAATGTATATATATATATATATATAAATATAATAGAAATGCTATTCACACGGATGAGTTTGAAAAATGGGGAGCCCAAGGCTTCTCATTCAATAGTTTCTACATCAGTCTCCATTTTGGTCAATCTCTTGAGCTTTAAAATTATTTTCATATATATATATATATATATATATATATATACACACACACACTTGCAAATAATGTACCAAGAATTAAACAATATCCCATGAAGCATTTTTCCGCTCATGTGAAAGCAATTAGTGTTCTTTTTTTTTTATAATTTATTTATTTATAAAAATATCAGCAAACGCCGTAATATTAATAATAGTGTTATATATATATATACACTATTATATAATAGTGATAAAAAGATCATTAAAGACATCATCAACTGCCAAGAATTAACCAGTATCCCATTAACATTTTTCCACTCGATCATGTGAAAGCGATTTGACGATTCGTCAGAGAATGCCGATTGGCTATTGATTCAAAATTTAAGGCGTTCTAATTAGGGATAAAAAGATCATTAAAGACATCATCAACTAACGCGTAATATTAATAATAGTGAGCATCAAATCTAAAAGTGGAAATTAGTTGGTTGTTGAGAAGATTTAATGTAAAATCGAATTGATTGTGAGAGTATCAGAGAGTGCCTTAATTATGTATATATATATATTGCCCTCGTGCTGTTAGCAGCAGGTCATCAGGGACAAGTTCACAAAAGTTCTTGAAGTGATAGACATATATATTCTTTGAAGATGAAAGTTGGTGCAGTGAGAGTTTGTGTTTTATCGTTGCTTTGCTTTCATGTTCTTGTTGTGAGTGTGGCGGTTGCCAGAGATTTGGTGAGTGTGCGGAATGCCGATGAGGAAGACAATTTTTGGAGTACTCTTGGTAAGGAAGTTGGTTTTGGATTTGGCGGTGGAGCAGGCGGTGGTGGTGGAATTGGAGGTGGCGCTGGCGGTGGAGCAGGCGGGGGTGGTGGAATTGGAGGTGGAGCTGGTGGGGGCGGTGGTATTGGTGGTGGCGGTGGTGTTGGAGGTGGAGCTGGTGGCGGCGGTGGTGCTGGTGGAGGTGGTGGTGCCGGTGGAGGCATTGGTGGTGGTGCCGGTGGTGGCATTGGAAATGGTGGAGGAGCAGGCGGTGGAGCTGGTGGCGGAGTAGGAGGAGGGGCTGGTGGAGGCATTGGTGGTGGTGCCGGTGGAGGCATTGGAAAGGGTGGAGGAGCAGGCGGTGGAGCTGGTAGTGGAGTAGGAGGAGGGGCCGGTGGAGGAATCGGAAAAGGTGGTGGAGTGGGTGGAGGAGCAGGTGGTGGTGCGGGTGGAGGAATCGGAGCCGGTGGTGGTGTAGGTGGTGGTGCTGGTGGTGGTGCGGGTGGAGGAGTGGGAAAAGGTGGTGGAGCAGGTGGTGGTGCCGGTGGAGGAATAGGAAGTGGTGGTGGAGTAGGCGGTGGTGCCGGTGGAGGAGTAGGTGGTGGTGCGGGTGGAGGAGTCGGAAAAGGTGGTGGAGTAGGCGGTGGTGCTGGTGGAGGAGTAGGTGGTGGTGCGGGTGGTGCTGGCGGAGGAGTAGGCGGTGGTGCCGGTGGAGGAATAGGAAGTGGTGGTGGAGTAGGTGGTGGTGGAGGTGGAGGAGTAGGCGGTGGTGCCGGTGGAGGAGTAGGTGGTGGTGCGGGTGGAGGAGTCGGAAAAGGTGGTGGAGTAGGCGTTGGTGCCGGTGGAGGAGCAGGTGGTGGTGCAGGTGGAGGAATTGGAAAAGGTGGTGGAGTAGGCGGTGGTGCCGGTGGAGGAGTAGGTGGTGGCGCCGGTGGTGGCATTGGGGGAGGATCAGGTGGTGGAACAGGTGTTGGTACCGGTGGTGGAATTGGGGGAGGAGGCGGAGGTGGGATTGGAATAGGGGGTGGAGTAGGTGGCGGTGCTGGCGGAGGAATTGGAAGAGGTGGTGGAATTAGGGGAGGAGGAGGAGGAGGAGGAGGAGGAGGTGGTGGTGGTGGTGGTGGTGGATTTGTTGGTGGAGTAGGAGGAGGTTCTGGAGGTGGAATTGGGTTCGGTGAAGGATCTGGTGGAGGCGGTGGGGGTGGAGGCGGAGGCGGAGGGGGTGGTGCAATTGGATATCCCTGAGCGTAAGAAGCCCCTTTGACATCTCTTAACGTTGCATGGGTAGCCTCCTATTTAAAATCGTGTAATCAGAGCAACAGACATATTTTACTCTAGTTGAACAATATGTATGTCAAACTTATTCTTAATTAATAGTAACATATTACTAGTTACCTTCTCATACTTTACTTTGATCGCTTCAAAATTGAGGGAAATTCATTTTCATTTCCAAGATCTTACTGATAAGAACTTGTTATCAAAAACCTCTCACTTTAAAATCAGTTCCAAGAAAGAGTTTCAGGATTCCAATTTATCTCACGAGACTTTGTTAGCAAATTCTTGGAAGTGGTAATGCTCAAATTTAGTTTAACTTTTATTACGGAGTATTTGATTTGTAGAAAACCTACATTAATAAGTTTAAAACGATTGAAGATTTCTGGTTTAGTTCTACAATGATTTGGACTAATCCAAAAATAAACCAATTAACCAAACACAAGACAGCATAAGACCAATCAATCATACTATATTCCAAGCAGTTGCTCAACACACACAACTTGAGAATGAAACACAAGAAACTAAACTCACCTGAGTTCACACACAAAGAAGAGAATGTAGAAACAATGGAACTTTTCATTTGAACCAAAAAGAAAAGGTTTAGCACAACATTGAAATACCACAGAAAAGATGAGACAAAGCAAAAAAAACTATTTAGTGTTTTAACAACAATATTAGAAACAACGAATACGCAATCCACTACTCCTTGCGAAGATCAATCCCAGCCTTCTTGGCAACCGCATCCAGTCCATTCTTCTCTATGGTTTTTATTGCCTTGGTCGACAAGCGCAGCTTGACATAGCGCTTCCCTGCCTCCCACCAGATTCTCTTGTACTGTAGATTCACAAACTGCAGTTTCTTTGTCTTATGGTTTGAATGGGAAACCTTGTTAGCTCTGTTGGTCTTTTTCCCAGTGAACGGGCACACTCTACCTGATAAACATATCCATTTACGACATGTTTCAGGGGGAAAATAAAAACAATTGAATGCTTTATAAAATGATGAACCTGATATGTTAGAATGGCATAGAACTGAAAAGTAAGGGCATTGCTAATGGAAATTACAATGATAATGGCTAACTGATTCATGTTTCTCAAATATTTGACTACTTTTTAGTTTTGTTTGATAAGGAACTAGAATAGAATATCTTATAACAGACAATATACAAGTATATAGCCATCAAGAAACTGCAACTAAAACCAATGCCACAGAAGTTAGAAACTCAGTCATGCTAAAATCTACATTTTCCTGATCCCCTTCCCACCCAATAAAACAACAATAAATATGAAAATCATAAAAACATGAAAATGCATATATGAAACAATTGAGGGCCTTGAACTTCATCAATAACCACGTGTAAAACCCATATATACAAATCGAGTCAACATTTACATATATCATCCAAATTACACTTTGACTCTCTTCCCCCTTCTTCCTTTCATTGTTACACTAATAAGGAGACAAAAAAAAGAATATTTATAAATACCAACACATTTGCTTGCGATTAACAAAACTTGATTATCCTAACAGAATCCCTCCGCATAAAATGCAGAAATCTCAGGGCGGCCTCTGCTGTGAGTCCGCCCCGAAGCTAAAACCCAAGTACCACACCTGAAATTTACAAATTAACCAGGTGGTGCAGCGTCCAGAGTGCATATGTTAATTTTAATGTGTGTGCACTTGAGGAGATATGTGACAAGGCTGCACCATAACTGTAGAAGTGATAATGCACCCTTTCTCATGCACCAATTTGGGGAAAGATAAGTGTATATCAGCTATTTGAATTCCCCTTTTTCTCAAAAAAGAAATGGCACTTTTTTAACTCATGACGGACCTCTGTCTTATGAAAAATCCATAAGAATGTTGGAAATAATAGTAAACATATTTAAATTCAAATTTGTGTTCTAGAAGGAGCTTGCAAATATATGTTCAGACTTTAAAGACCTTTAAGCACTTAAAAGAGGAGGGGGGGGTAAACCCAATTGCTTGAAGTGAGGCAACAAACTTCGCAGCCTCAGTTATGGGCATAATTAATGTTATCAAAATTAAACAATATTATCAACTAGACATTAGAGAGTAAACACGCTACATAATCGAATTCCAAGGTGTGTTTGGATGTCCAACAGAATTGAATGAACCTATTGACATTTTAGCATATTAAAGTAGACATTTATAATCCTAAATGGAGACGCTAGAGAAGTCTCCATCTCACAAGATGATTTTAGAAATTCAAATTGTCATGTTCAAGAAAACAAGAATGATGACATGCTAGGAAAGCTGAAATTCCTGTTATCCTAAATGACTCCGAATTCATAGATTTCAAATACCATATTAACAGCAATAGGACCTGTAAAACTCAAGTGGACATCCACAGCACACTAGCACCGCCAGAAGATTTATCATTTTATGAGTTAACTCCATAATATCAAATAGGAGAGGTTATCAAGAGTATCACTTCTTTATTTGGTTTACCATCTTGTATAAGCTTCTTATAGTGAACATCTCATGGATAGAGTATGCATATTTCTAATTAACATTGCCGTTCTGACTTCAAATTAGCAAGCCATCATTCGATTTGCTACCCTCTCACCAATCTCATTGCTTTGGCTTCACTCAAGTGCACATTATTTGGGTTTTTTGCAATTCACGAATGGATTTCCAATCGCCTTTTCCCTGGATTCCAAAGGTTTGGAGCAAAAGAGTAAGACAACTTCTAGGGCAGACTCCGAATTGTACTTTCCACAACATTCGAAAAGAGACCATTCATAAATTCTTTCAAAATTATTAATCATCCCCTTATGCGGTTATGAATGGAGCTCCTCTTATTTGCCACTTTGTCCTCCATTAATGAAAATTTTTCAGGGACACCTTAGTTATAATTATATACATATATACACAAGCATATATACATTCCCACATACATATTTGATGATTTCAATCCCCAATTGTAAAACATTACTTCGTTAGCAATATCCAACTCCCATTGCTACATCATTTCCTTTTGATACAATATACCCATCCATGTATGTGTGCACTATAAATATATAAACCAAACAATCAATTGATTCACATGACCCACCAAACATATACCAACATTCGCAGATTATGGAAATTAAAAATATTATTTTGAAAGATGATTCCAACATTTAGTGAATGTTTTTTTGCAAAATTGAAAGCGAAAACCAAAGCAAATAAGTGTGTGTGTGCGTGTGAGAAAGAGAGAGAGAGAGAGAGATTACGAGCCACAGGCTGAAGAGCTGGCCTGAATGGAGCAGAGATGATGGGTTTGGTCAAGAGATTGTTGTAGGAAATTTTGAGGCCACTCAATTGGGATGTAACAAACCCTAGGTCTGGAAGCACCTTCGACTTGAACGACGGTCTGTTAGTCTGTGCTTTAAGGAAGCATAGGTTCTGACCCACCACCAATCCTGATGATGCTGTAACTGCTGCCATGGTTTCTCTCTTCAGACTCTCTCTCTCTCTCCCCCCTTTATCTTATCTGCTTATATTGAATGTTACCCAAGTGGGGGACTCCAGAGGTCGGACTGTGAAAGGCCCAAAATAAGATAGGTTGGTTTGTAAGAATGAGCACACAAATAATATGTAGAATGGAACTTTAGTGATGGTTTTGAAGTAAAGTACTATTTCTTATGTAAAAGATGAAAAGTAAAAACTGAAAAAAAATAATATCAGTTCTTGTGTGGGAAGACTTTAAACTTGGAGTGGTTATTGATTTGATGAATAGGTTTTGGAATTAAGTGGGAATCTAATATTTTTTGAAATAACAAGTCTGATTTAAACTCAAGGGGTGATGGTGGTGTCGAAATCTCTTAAAATCACCTTTTATAATTCATTGCTAAACACATTCGGTACTTCAACACATTCGGTACTTCAGCTCCACATATACTAAAAAATTATCATCAAGAATATTTCGGGCTATTCTATGAAGTTTTGTAGAGTTGTTAGCCAAACAAGGAACGGATGGAATTAGAACATTACGTTTTTTCACTATAAAATGATCTACAATATTTAATTGTCTTGTTTTAATTTTTGTGAGAAGGTTAGGGTGTTTATTAGCAATAAGTTAACTTGCATAATTACCCAAAAAGAAAAAATTGTCAAGCTCAAAAAATCAGTTGCCATTCTTAGAAGCCAAGCTTTTGAGATTAGTTCTTCAGAGGTAAGAAAACAAGGCATACCCAAGTCCATGGTATTCATTGTCCAAAGTATGCAAAAGAAATACAATTACAATAAAAAAATAAATAAAAAAAATTAACTCTCATATCATATAGTAGCATCTAGTCAGCCTCCTAGGTCAAAGTCCATGGTATTCATGATTTTGGAGTTGAGCATTGGTCCCAACTGATGCGTTCCTTACAAATTTGTATGGGTAAAGGTTAAAATGGGATATAGCTCAATGTGGCTTGAAATTCAAATAAAAATTGACATTTCGAAATATTGAAGAATTTTAAAACTGCTACAGCTCTGCTCCACAAGTATATTGTCATTGCCAGGCTTGTGCAGAAGACCATGCTGAAAATTACTAAAACTCCGGCTTGTGGTAAAAATCGGTGGACCATGGAAACATTTACATCAACCATTGTAAGCATCCAAACAAACTCATTTGGGAAACCTAGCGCGGTAAATATCGTAAGCAACATACTCCACTGACACAATCCGGTCATCAAAAAGACGTCCATGTAAACAGTGGGCTGCCATACAAGTAGCTTCAGTTCTTCGATACTCCACCAGAACACAACCAGGCTCCAAAACATCCCCAAGATCGGAAACATGTTCCATACTTTCAACCTCTATTCTCTCACCACAATCCAGTTCAGAAAAAGCTGCCTCCAATTTTCCATTGACTTCCTCTGATTTCAGCTCTTCCTTGACTACTGCTCTGTTCATCTCTAAATCCGCTGCTTGAATAATTTCAACCTTGTCATCATGGCATTCCAATTGATCTACCGAACTTTTAAATAGGTTGGGGACTTCTGGAGATATAGCATTAGAATTTTCCTGGCATATTGGATTTTCAGCAACCACATGACTATCAACTGGAGCTGGTTCACATATTTCTTCTTTTATAAGATTGTCTACATATTTACCATCACAAATGACGTTATCTTCTTCAGCTCTATCAACTTCTTCAGATTTGGCACAGATTGAAGGCTCTGATCTGCTAATTTTTCCTGAGACACAATCCATACCTTCTACAATTTCCGTGTGTGTGTCATCACACTCCAAATCCTCTATAGCAGAATCTGTGTTGTCAGTGACTTTGCATGTTTCTTGGGTGGAACCACAATTACTGCGCTTGACAACGTTAACAGACTTAACAGTGCCAAACCTGCAAAGATTGGGTGGACATAAGATTTTCAAGCTGACAATTAACACAGAGAGAGAGAGAGAGAAGGGTGTTTAAACCAAAAAGGAAGTAAAATTCAGAAGGGCAGTATCTATTGTGACCTGGCACACTCTACACGTATATCTTCTAAAATTTCTTCCAATTCTGGTTCAGACAGTGATGAGAAACCCTCCGGACTCAACTGAATCATATTGAATGGTGGGTCAGGGCAGCGAGGAGAAAAGAGAGAGTAACATCAGCAACCCAACAAAACTGGCTTCATATAAACTAAATAAAGATGATAAATTATCAAACTAATATGCAGCATACAATATATAATCACAAATAACATACCACATTTCTAAGCTTCAGAACTTGTGTAGGCTTCTCAAGAAGTGGCTTTGCATGCTCAGGGATCCCATAGAAAGGTTGGCTCTCATAATTTTCCTACCATAAGTGTTCATTTTGGTCAAATCTATAATTCTAAGGAGAAGAAAATACAAAAAGTAACAGGAAATCTCTTTCCCCCATTAGACGGAAGAAGAAAAGAAGAGAAATTATTGTACCACAGATGCTGCACCCGGAATAGCTTGAACTACAGTTAGCAGCTGTCCTCCCAACTTCATACCATTCAGACCCGCACAAGCTTTGAGAGTAACTGACTGATCCACATACTGAAACAGTACAGATAAGTAGTCAACAAACCAATATCTAAAAGAGAATGGATGGAAAAGTGACAACTTATAAAATGAAGAGGTCAAATAATAAGCATAAAAAAAGAGGACAACAATAATAATTCACATTGACAGTTCCTTAAAAAAACCAGGCATACAACAGTTTATCCCCTCCTCTGGAAGAAAATACCAGGAGAACTGGTTTATACTAAAACAAGGATTGCCCGGTATTCGTGGGTACTTGAGTTCGCATAAGCCTCTGGGCATTTACTCAAGGAACATGTGTGTTCAATGTGTTCAACTCTCGGGGGCATTAAGCCTCCGCCCTGTCATTATCCTGTACTCTCAGTTTGGGAGTGATTGCAGGTATCCAAAGGGACCAGTCCCACCCCAAAGGGGCAGGATCGCCATCCATTAACCAAGGAAATAAAATAAAAATAAAAAAACAAACAAGGGTCACTGCCGCACAAGGATCCTGACCAGCACAATATCCTGAAAACAAAATGAACCATAATAACATAGATACTGGTACTAAAAGACACTGCATGAAGTTATAAGGTCATTACATCCATCTTTCAATGTTTTAGATAACAATAAGAGGTGTATTTCACCTGAAAACTATGATGTGGATAAGTTAGGAAATAAGCAATCCGGCTTGCATATTTAAGCACCAATTTCACTATGCTCATCTAAGAACTCTGAGCAAGTACAAGCCAAGCCCGACCATTCCAAGCAAAGCTCAGACCGCTTGCCAGGCCATTCTATGATTTCCATGCAGAGTACAAAAAAAATTCGTGTGCTTGTAGCAAGCCTCCATCAAGTCTGAACACAGAAAAATTCAGCCAAGCCCATCCTGAAAAGTCTACTACTTGGCTCAACATGGCTCATCCCATTTGTATCCCAAACTTAAGTGTATCTTGCTTTGACACATTTATTCTGGAATCTCAGAGCACCTTCAGTATGATCTATCAACGTGTAAGTTACCAGTCATAAAATTCAAGACTTGACTGGTTGGTGAATCCCAGACAACATCCCAGTACATAAATGTAACTTGAGTTCAAATTATCACAAGAACGTTCACAATTATTTATGTTAATACAAGAGACACCTAAATAGATAAATAACGTCAATCTAGATATAGAATTCAAGGAAATCATATTACAATTATGGAACAAATAACAAGAAAATTACGCAATTGGCATTTAAAGGTGCACTGATCATTAGCCCTTGCAACATAACTGTACACTAAAATGTTTGCAACACAACATAGCACCAATTATGCACCAACTCATTCAAACAAGATTAATTATATGATAATCTCTGCATTAGTTTATCATCTTAGCAAAATTTTTACTGGAAACAGAAGTCAATAGAAGTACGTCCATTTTTTTTTTTTTTTTTGAAAAGTAAAATAAATCAATAAATGTTGCACCCATGAAAGTACATTTAGTGCGATACCTCAAGAAAAGCACATGGTTCATTAAGATCCGCGTTAACCTCAAAGCGGTACGCCTTTAAAGGTCCGAAAGCACCAATGATCTCCATAAGCTGAGAAAGAAGAATAATTTTTACTCACTAAAAAGATGTTGAAGAATAAAAAAGGTAGAATAGAGGCAATTTTATCATTACTGCACAAACTTTAAAAACATGTTACCGTTTTTGATGAAATAACCTTCGAAATCCCGCCGATAAAAATCTGCAGCAATGATGCACAAAGCAGCTTTTCAAAAGGACTTGAAGAAAATATCAAAATATATAAACCAGAACAAGAACATTTATGGAAACCACCAGTCCTGACCCACACAGCAAGATTAAATAAGTTTAATGCTTGTCAAAAACTTGAGAAAATTCCATAGATTAACCATTAATAAATATATAAGGGCCACAAGTTAAGAAAGCAATACCAAGCTAAATTTAAAAAGCATCGATAGCATGAAAAACATACTCAAGATGGATGCCAAGTGCCTTAAGGAATTTTACAATGCTTTTCACACACAAAAGATGTAGCAGAATAAACTCTTTGTGCACTAAAATATGCAGAAAACAAAGATTGACCATGTCCAACCTCCATCTTACAGGAAAGAGGAGTATAGTGCCAACAGCAACTAAATCAAGCAAACAATTTATGAGGAATATATTCAATGGTACACCACATATGTTCGTCATTCCACAGCAACTAACTCAAGCAAAGACCAACCCCCCCCCCCCCCCCCCCCCGGGCACAAAAAAAAAAAAAAAAAACCATTATATAAACGTAATAGTTGGTCACTACTTGCCAATCTTGGACTTTGTAGCCCAAAAAAGGTGTGAATTGTTATATAAAGCGATATGATTAGGTCCAAAAAATCAAAAAATGATAAACGAAGAACATGTCGACCGCGTGAACAAATCCCCAGTCCCCAAGAACCTATAGACTGATACATTAGGGTCTTTATCAATGCCCAAAAAGAGTTCTTATTTTTCCAAAAGAACTAGACAGAAGATCGATAGCGTACTACTCATTTAAGCACCCAGATCCCGGTTTCACACTACTATTGTCATATATGAGTAGATGCTATTTTAGTAACAAAATCTATTCTGCCAGATATCTTAAATGGAGTCAAAATAAATATTACAGAAATTAAAAAGAAAAAAAAAAAAAACAAATGACAATCCATGTAACTGAAGTGAAAAAAAGAAAGAAAGAAGAGAGATTAATGATTGAAGCAACTAGAAGAAACAAGCTTAATAATCAACATGATAAAGAGATTAGGTGTGGCATCTGCCGACTGCCACCTATTAATTATAAAGTTAGAAAAAGTAGATTTAGGCAGTATTGTTATATACAATGTAAACCAGTAGATGCACCAATAGAAAAAGAAAGATCAATTCGAATAGAAGGTAAGAGACAATGAAGCATACCAATGGGATGAAGTAATAATGAAAGACCCTAAGAAATTAAACATGATAGGAGATATAGCTTGCAATATAAAAGAATGGAAGAAGAGAATTCCTAATTTAATGTGAATAAGGCAATGATGATGATGATACATTTTTTATTGAAAAAAAGAAAGAAAGGTGGCTAGCCTGATCAGAATGAGAATAAATTAACAATAATAGAAAGATGATGTTTTATAGGCTCTCAAATCATGTGCTATAACATGTAAAACCGTACAACATTCAACTCTTCTGAAAGAGATTAAGATAAAGTTAATCACATAGTTATTGCAATACGTTGTTTCAAATACATACCTTGTGAGGTGAATCCTTCACAACATCACTTACTGAATCAACTGCAGCCACTGATTTCTCAGGTACGCCAGTCTGCATGAAAATAGCAACTGTCTGAAAACCTGCTACATGAATAGTAACCACAGTATACCTCAGAAAAAGTAAAGTAGTAATAGAAAGTACTGTTTCAACCATAAATAGCATATGTTAACGCAAAGAACTCAAGCAAAAAGAAAAAGATGCTAAGTTCAAGACAATTGACGACAGAAGAAACACCAAAGGTAATAAATTTTTTGAGATGGATAATATTTCACATGAAATTTCAAGTAAATTAATCTCAAATTACCGGTTCTGTACCAAGATCCAGTACCCCACATACACTTGTTAGGAAACTAGTATTTACTAAAGATCAGCACTGGAAAGTATATTTTGGGCTTTGTGTTTTTCTATTTCAGGGGCCTTTGGCTCTTAATCATGAAGATGATGAAATCATCATGCTCACCATTCTCCTAAACAAGTAAACATTTTTCAGCACTAAATTTTGGATGGCTAAGAGTGGCAAAGAAACTACAATCAAAATAAAGGGAAGGCCGGTCATCTGCTGTAGTTTGCTAATGGGATAGCATGGCTCACAAAACAGCTAACAATAAGGAATTATAACATTCAGAAATATATAAAAAGACCAAGACTAAGAATGTTCTGAAGCTAATTTCAACACATAAAATTACCAGAATTGGAAGTTAGGCAAATATTATGCGGAGAAATGAATGAAACTAGGTGATGTAAGAAAAAGAAAATTAGAGAATTAGATCGTGTCAAAAATGCATTACCAACGGGGTTATGGAGTTTTAATCCAGAAGAATAGATTTAAACAAAGACAAAATGCTACTTTCATAAAAATATCAACAAAAACAATGCAGAAAATTTAAGACCAGAATGACTTAGCATCTCTGAAGAGTTTAGAAAATTTGGCACTTTTAAAGAAATAAAATATCTAAAATTCGAAAGCTGTAAAACAGATGAAATGGGGAGGTCTAGCGACTGATAGTAGGCTGGAGAACATACAAGCAATGATTGTGTAGTCCATTCCACCAAACTATGCAACAAGATATAAAGCTGCTAGGTGAATATTATAAGAAACACTCTAATGCCTATTTATGAGAAGAAATTACAAAAACAAATCATGAAAACACTTCTATTTCTTACACTTTGAATAAATAGGGGAATAGGAAAGATCTCACAACTGTATTTACATAGTTCTTAAAGGCGTATCTAGATCCCAAAAAAGGCCCCGTGCATGTCAAGGATCAATCAAAAAATGCCTCAACACTCTATAGGTGACAGTGCGACACCTATTCAAATGAATGACATGCATTTTAGCAGGGTACTGACTTCAAAAAAATAAAAAATAAAAAAAAAAAGGAAGAAGAAGAAGGCGCCATTTTTTTCAATCATTCAACCATTTCTTTCTGTCTAACGATTGTTAATTCACATGCTCTATACATTATGCTCTATTATATCCCAATCATTTTTTATTTTTTTTTGATAGATCTTATGATTTAATCCAGTTGGATATTAGGCTGACGGAGTATTATTTAATCCTGCAGCTCGTTGGATATTAGGATTGTGCAATTCATAAGCTTATGGTTGACTACTTACCAAAAATTTCATTTTTTTTTTTTTCCAAATTATTTTACTACTTTTGTGTTACATATTTTGAATTATTTTTATTGTATATCGATTTAATTAAATGTATGCAAACTAAAAGGATATATCACATATGCATATTTATTAGTTTCATTTTTCTTCATCAAAGATTTTTTCCCTACTTCGAGTCAACTAAATTTCTTTAGCTAACACTCTAAATTAGTATGCTAAATGATTCGCTCACGATATTGACAAGTTTGCGTAGCATATTTTTTTCTATTTTTAATATGTATTTCCACCACACATGCACATTAATCCTTTGGGTTCTCGCTTCTTATTGCACCTTGTGCTTAGACTCTAGGAGATTTTGTTGCCTTAGTGCACCTTGAACCTTTAATGACAATTGGTTTTATCAACTCAAAAAAATGCAAAGGTTAGGTCTATCTCCAACCATTGCCTACTCATACTAGGGCTGAAAATGAACCGAGCTGTTCATGTACAGCTCGGGCTCGGCTCGTTAAAAGCTCGGCTCAAACTCGTTCATTTAGTAAATCTATAGCAAAAAAATACTACTTCAATTCATAAAAGAAGGCCAGCACCCAACTTGGAAGCATGTTTTTTTTTTTTTTTTGGTTAAAAGGGTAAGCAACTTGGAAGCATGTTGAGAGTACAATAAATACAAGATAACAATTGGCACTATTTTGCATAAAGTATTTACCATTATTCGCCCCCAGTCTCATTGATAAAAATAAAACTAAATAAATCAATATGGAGAAATGCATTAGAATCAAAAGGAAATACCTAACATTTAGAGTCCAATGCAAAAGAGTAAATTTATAGCCACAATATTGCCAATAAAGATGGATTTTAATTTCAATGGATCAACCATAAAGTGGGGAAAATTAAAGAGTCGCACATAAAATTGAAGACTAAAGAAATAGAAACATGCTACGATGTAGAATTGATGGATACCAATTAGACCAAAGGGATCCACAAAATTGATACAAGACTATACATGAAATATCATTCATGCAAAGCTAGAAATAGAAGAAATCAAGAAGATAAAGAAATTTTTTGTCAAGATTACTTCTTAAAGAACTAATTTGCTTTCAACAAAAACACAGAAAGGACGAGGAAGATCAGCTGGAGAAGCCAAAATGGCCCATGAATTAATACTTTAAAGACAGCCTAATTGGAGATAAATGGCAAGAAAATCCAACCTCAAATAGTTGGCATAAGGTTTATAGAGTTGAGTATAAGAATTTCAAATGCCTTCAATCTATTTTAACATGAACCATTATTCTGCACGTGTTCCCCAAAAAGGTCAATTATAGATAATTATCCAAATAAACGTATGGACCCAATATGGTTACTTTTGGAATCTCATTGATCCCCTCAATTATCTTTGCCAAATTTCAAATAATCTCTTCAGAAACTGGAGAAATCTTTCATGGGGTAAAAGAAGCAAATATGGAAGGACAAAAGGGTGGTTAACTGTTAACATCCATAATGGTGGGGGCAAGCATGTGCTGAATGTAACAACATTAAGCTATGTTGTCAAAGAACAGTCACCAGCTGTTAAAATCAAGCACTTTTGGGAGCCATAGATTCAACAGTCAAACTGCAAACAGCACCACCGAGAGAGACACCAGCAATCTTGATCAAACAATATCCCATTACCATTTTGCAAGTTGAACGCCGTATGAAAGCAAATTAACCATATGCCATAAGAAAGGACTGACACTGTACATCAATGACCCAAGGTCCCAAACCAATTCTAAGTAGGAAAAAAGGAGAAAAGGCAAAAAACACAACAAAATTGCCACTACACCTGAAATCTTCTTATTAGGAATCAGCTTCATCAGCATCCTGAATGTGAGTTACGATACACCCAACAAAAACACCCTATTTAAGATAAATCCAACATGACGGTCAGAGAAAACAAAAACCTCGCACAAGAAGAAAAATGGATTGTCTTGGGCAAAAGAAAGCTAGTGAAACCACAGTGACAATTTGTAATATGAGGTTTCATATGCAATCTGAATTTTCTTCTGAGGTGCAAGCAGAAGTAAAGGAACTCCAAGTTAACCACTTGCGCCATGTAATTCTCACAGTTACGAGGCGCTCTCCTAGATTTACGATTCATAATCCAAGTTAATTTTATTTTTTACAAAGCCTCATAGTTCCCAACCGGTGATGAGAATGGTCAATTTGGGCCAAAGGATTTGCACATTTTTTATCATCTACTCTCATCCATCCTAAGAAGCCTAAACAAAAAAAATCATAATAGTTAAATAATTAATTAATTTACTTTAATTAAATTAAAAGATTTGTCAATGAAATACAGTTCCAATTTCTGGTTCTTGTCACTAGATTTTTTGTACTTATAAAAAGAAAGGCACTCAGACACTAAAACTTCTATCATTGCAACTGAGTCTTATTATTTCTATTCAAAATAGGAACCAGCTTTGCCACATTCAGGAGTTAAGAAAAAGTGGTCTACTAAAGATATAGAAGAAACTTTGAACTTCCTTTCTATAAGATGCACAAACACAGTTTTTGTATGCATTATAATACCAAATTTAATTCTCTTTTAAGACTCATAAATGCAAAAACACCTTATTTGGTGGGAAAACACCTATTAAGAAAAAGCAAACTTTTCTATACTACTCTCATTTCCAGCCACAACCAATAAATTTTCAACAAGATGAAGTTCAAAACCTCTTAGACCAATAAATACAAGATAAATTCTGGCTTTACAAACCATAATTCCCATGACGATATAGGATTTAGTTGTAAGATGGTTTGAGGTTAGACCGACAGGTAGGAAGAGGCAGTACCATATAAGGAGAAAGGCTTCTGTTGTGTAAAAGCACACTATCAGTTCTACCAACTGAAGTCATGTCCCTTTTTTACTATTACACCATGATTGACAAAGAGATTAGAGGAGTTGCAAATAGACTTCCTTTAGAGTAGATAAGAGATGAATTTAAATATTTTTGGAGTTGCTTTCCCCTAAAAGTAGTGGTCTAGGAATTTGAGAGGCTGGAGGTCTCCAAACGATCATGCCATTACATTACAGAGAAAGAAAAGTTTTTGAAGAAAACTGGTGGTAAAGTAATATGCAAACCCGAGGAGCAATTGGATACTGTGGAGGTAAAGATTACACACATTTTCTTAGATATTGGCATCAGAAGGGGTGGATGACTTCTCTAAACATATCAGATTGCAAATGGGTGATAGAAACAAGGAGTATTTTTGGCATGACATTTGGCGTGTGACTGTCGCTCCAAAGGTGTCCTTCCAAAATCTTTGTAAGGTTACCACATACAGGGAGTTGCGAGAAGTTAAATTTAGAATGGAAGCACATGACTGAAAGGTGAAAGAGGTCTTAAAGTTGAGGAAGATTGTCAGAAGATTATAAGTTTTCAAGGCTTCCACTATATGGTCAATGTTCAGGGGATCAATACCACCAATGGGCACATGTAGACAATATGAGGGCACACAATGGATTCAGAAACGGCTTACCAACTTATTTCAACATCCAAGATCCAAACAATGTCACTGAAGAGCTGCTTAGGTTACACGAACAGCAACTTTTTAGTTGCATCAGTCAATTTTGCAACTGTAGCAAATAGCAAGCCACCACTTGTACATTCACAAAATGACTGCACCGTCAGGGATTCAGGGTTGTAGCGGTCCTTTGGCCCTTCAAAAGAAACCGCTCGTCATTCTTGGATGGATGTCCTTTCTATTAAAAACCCAGACAGAACCTCATGTTGTTATTATGGTATCTGATATAATGATATGATACAGATGCATGTCATTTTGACACACATCTCTCTTGCATATCACAAAAACCAGCCTGTTGCATGATGTGATGCTCATATCTTATGACACAATAAATGTCTACGGTGCGCTTGATTCATACATTATGCAACTTGGCAAGAGTCAGCCAGCCTGATAACCAGAAAACTATTTTTCCTTCATTTGGTTCTTTCTTCTCTTCAACTAGGAGTACCTAACTCTCAAGGAAAAGGGCTTTTATACTTTTAAATTTTAATCTTTCCATTCTTCCTTTCCCTGACCTTCATCTCTTAAGTTGGAAATTTTAGGACCTCTTCTTATCCGTTCATTTGAAGTAAACAGAGATTTACCTTTTCTCAAGGCTAATGGCAATTTTTCAGATGTTTCTATAAGAGAATAGACGAAATCTTGTTGAGATTTTGAGGACTTTCCGGTTCAGCATTAAAAGTAAATTTTATTCGCTTTAATTCTAGTGATGATTTTTATTTGACAGAATTGTCAGAAGGCAAGTGATCGACTAATGATTGCAGTTAGTGCAATTCTAGTGGCAGTACACGGTGAATATTCATGCACGCATATCATGTCACTGTTATAGGTTGCCTTGTACTTCAATGCTCAAAGATGTTTGTGCTTTGTATGAGTTTACATCCTTTCTCTACTTATTCAAAACAAAATTAAAATATAACAGAATACAATAATATGAGATATGGTACAAGAAAATAGGAAAATGATATATGACATGCATCATAGCTCAACAACTATTCTTGGGCCTGTCCTGGTTTCAACCACACATTAAATCTCAACCCTTTCAATGAGAAATAATATTGAATTTAACTGGCTCGTTGGGCCTTGTTGCTTTGGGGAAACTAAATTCAGATTCGAACACTGGATCAACACCTTTTTCTAATGATTGAATTATCTCTATATAATTGATATAAATTCAACAAAGAAACTGTCACAGCTTAGGATTCCAGAAAGACAAACTCCTATGATCCAACTGCAAAATAATCTTCAAAAACCATACAATGCACGCGAAAGCAAAAGAATTTCCCTTGCTTAGCATTTTGATAAAATAGAACTAAAGCATAAAATGTGTGTTTATACAACACCATAAAGCAAATGCATTTTCAGCTTAAAGATCATACTAGGAAGAAATCAGGTTCATGTTTGATCATCCAACATAAAATGAAAATAAAATAAAGAACAGGAAAGAAAAAGAAAACAGGAAACCTAAAACCCAACAAGCTCATCTATTCTTAATCAACCAACAGTATTCATTCAGTATAGGACATAAGCAGTACAGCAAGAGAATGGCGTGATTATCATTCTTACAGTTACTTCAACAAAGTCCTTGGGGCGTCTGATTTTAAGAATGGAGCCAAAGAAGGATCTGCCATCAAAAGAAAGTGCTGCTGAAGCATCCTCAGGGGTAAGAAATTCCACAAGAGCTTGGCCCTTCTCCTTGTGTATCTGCATTATAATATGATAAGCAAGCCAAACACGCTTGTCACAAATGCAAGCCAAGAATATGACATGCATATTCAGAAAATTAATTAGACACTTACAATACAGCTGATACATGGCTGGGTCCCTTGAATATAGTTAACACCTGAAGACATTAGAAAACTGTTAAGCCATTCCGTAACAGATTTCTCAGAGGCTGAAGTTGGTAAGTTTTCAACATAAAGCCTCCTCATAGGTCGGGTTGCTTGTGTTAGCTGAATGGAGTCAATGGTGGGATTTCTCTTCAACAATGAAGTGCTAGGAAAAGCCCCAAAAGAGGGTTTTACTGTCGTCAAAAGGGCAGGAACCACACTAGACAACTCATGCATGTTGGATGATACAATTTGGTCTGAAGACTGCAACTTAGAAAGAGTAGGACCAGTAACATTGCTGTCTGTTCCTGCAGGTGGGAGATCCCACCCAGCACTTTTTTTCTCTGGAGAACGATTGGTTGGGGAAGGAGTCTTAATAGCAGCCTCGGTTCTTCTCTTCCTTGGCGAATAACCACCAAGTCCACTTGCAAATCCACCATGTCGTCTATTCTGGCTACTCGATCCATTGCCTGATACCTTGTTCCGATCAGCATCAGAATGCTGTCTTCCCGTTCTATCTTTAGAAGAATGTGAGTACAACTCGCCATGCTCCCGCACATTATAAGATGCCCGTTTTTGCGCCCTCGGTGAGAGTGAAGTAGACCTTCTCCCTCTGTCCTTGTCATGCTCTCTACTCCTCGACCTTCTCCTATTCGGCCTTGATTCTTCATGACGAAATTTTGAAGATTCTTTCCTCTCCTTGCTCTCTGAGAATTCTGAACCATTCCTCTTACCAGACTCACGTTTTTTAGCAGCATTCCTGTCCCTACTTTTTTCATCATCTTCATCGCGGTGTTTCCTTTTGCTCTCTCTCTCAGATTTTACTCTACTTCTATCTGCATATCTCTCCTTCACTACCAAATCTTTTAGATGCCTCTTTTCAGACTCATTTTTAGAATCATCACTTGACCACGCATCATTTTGTCTCCTGACATTAACCCGTCTGTCAATCTTGCCTCCTTTAGCTTCATCGCCAATATATTTTCTCAGTGTAGCCTTTGATTTGGTTTCAGAATCACAAATTTCTTTATCTTTCCTTTTCACTAATTTATCTTCCTTAATAGGCATATCATTTTCTTTCTTCCTAGAACTTACCTTCACAAAATGCTCTGAAGCATGCTTTACACCACTAGGTGCAGGATCACTGTGCTTTACACCACTAGGTGCAGGATCACTCTGTCCCAAACCTCTGTCCATTTCCATACAATGATCCCCTTTAACATTTCCAGATTGTTTCTTTTTTTCCCTTCTATGCATAATCTCATCAAAACTAAAAGGTCTTGTCCGAGCGGCACTTCCCTCATTACAGTTATCCAAGGAAGCTTCACCACTCCTTCCATACCTCTCTTTTTTCCTACTAGATCTGCTCATCCTGCTAAATATAAACTTCCTACAGTACGAAATTCTGACGCCGCGGCATACACTAAGACATGCAGCCAGGTAAAGGAGAAGAGATGTGGAATGAACCCTTGATTACTGTTCAGGCTTTCTCTATGGATGGGGAAAAAAGATAAAAGAAAACGATCACTGCAACCAAACAAAAAAAATATATCCACTAGTCAATTTCAAAAAAGTGTAAGCCACTGACAAGATTGAGTCCATATTACTACATGACAGACCGAGACAGGCCCTACAGTAACAATTTGAAGAATGCCATTTACACCAGCCCAAAAATTACCAACATAAATTTAATGAAGATTCTTCATGTTCATGTTCAGAAATTCACAATTCAGTTTACTATTAGTAAATAAAAATATGACTACTAGATATATTTCTCCCCACGTAAATCACTTGACTGTTACATTGGGCAAGTGCTCCCCTTTTGAGCACTTTTTAATGAAATTTTATTTATTTACCAAAAAAAAAAAAAAAAAAAACCTTTAAAGTTGAATGCTAATGAACTTAACACAATTTAAAAAGAAACAAGAAAATTTCATCAGGAAAATTGCTTTGTTGGTGAAACCAGCAGAAAAAATCAATGCCAGCAAATATTCAACGATCAACTATTTACTCCCTTCCTACCAGTTAACAATGACCTTCCAGTATCCTCCTAGTGAATGAAGGGTATAAACTTCTGTTCAGGATGACAAAATTAATCAGCAACAGTACCAGGGACCTAAGGCCAACTCCATAAATAATGCATTCAACAAAGCAGCCTTAAATCAACAAGAAGACTTCAGAGGTTTTTCTCACTTCACTTTTAAGCCCCAAATTTAAGCATGCACAGCAGCACATGCTTCATTTTATTTTATTCATTAATTCTTATTTTTTGGATTGGAAGAAAAAACAACTATTAGACCCCGTGATAAAAACCAGTCAATCAGTCTAAAATCACAAGGAAGCTTATCAGAATAAGAAAATTCACTTCAGATTCCTAAAGACTGAATAGGCAGAAAGATAAATCAAGTGCCATGGATTTTCTATACCTTTAGTAGGGCACCTTCTTTTTTTATTCCTAAATCCCCCATCCCTCAATCGTGAGATTCGTGAGGGGAAAAAGAGGGAACCAATTATAATAAACGCAAAGAGTCTAGATAACTCACTTAATCACCAACAAGAAAAAAAAAAGAAGTACATCTTCCTTCAATAATCCAATCAAATGGTTGTGTATGTCAACGTAAAACAAAACAATATCAAGGTAGGAACAAAAAATGCACATAATCACCTGACTCTGAATTTTTGGCAAGAAGGCCATTGTATTTAATTGAAAAAAACCAAAAGGGCTATACAAATGCGCACATTTTAGAACGTAACCAGTAAAAAGCAAACCCATATCAGAGGACATATTACAAATTCAATAACCACAACACGCATTATCCATACATATATATATATATATAAGTGCAACAGAACAATATTGGTTCCCATATATGAGAAAGTCTGATTCGCACATTATTATTAGTCTAGTTTCATTAGAGGTTCACGGATTTACGTACATGTACATATGTGCAATTTTCTTTTCTCTTGATAAATTTTACAACATGTGAGTTTGGGGCATCGGTAAACGAGAGAACAATACGGCTTACCTGAACGGACATAACGCCGGAGACTTGTCGGAGAACGGAGGTGGTTGGAGGAAAGTCGCCGGAGAAGTTCGCGAACGACGATGCAGAACAAAGACCAGAGTCGGCTAGAGTAGGTGGGTGAATTCCCAAATGGGTAGTATAGCCCCCAGCTCCGATTGGAAAAATCAATAACCTAGGCAGGCAACTGATATTATCTAATGAGTCAAATTACCACAATACCCCTAACATGTAGGTTATTATATATATATTTTTTTATTAGAAGTTAGATCAGTAGGTACAAAGAGTCGAAACCTGGCATTTTCAAAATCAACCGGAGGCACTAATTACTGGACTATCGAGACATTTACAGCTTAAATTACAATTTCAGCCCTCATTTGTATATAATAATAATAATAATAATAAATTGAAGAGAAAAAGAAAGAAAGAAGGGTGATAATAAAAAATAATAAATAAACAAATAAAAAAAAGGAGGTCAAATTATTTATCATGTATTTATTTCAGGAATGAGGAAGGAAATGAGAGGATTGGGAGGGAGAAAATTGAAGAATGGCCTAGCCTTTGAATAGTGTTTTGATTATCCTTCATAGGGTTGGAAGGAAATGAAATAAGAGTTAGTAAAATTATCCAATTTGTTCCTATATTTTCAAAATAATGTATTTTTGTTTTGTTTGCTACTCACATATAAACAATATTTATAATCTCTCCCTTTCTTTTCTCTTGATGATGGTACTCCGTTATTGTTTTTTTCCTTCTTTAATTATTAAAAAATGAACCAAAAAAATGAATACTATCATTTAGTTTCTTTTGTTTAATGTTATTTTTATCAGAAATTTTTCTTTTATAATTAATGATGCTACTTGTAAATTCTGAATAAATTAGTTGTTATAACTTTCTCTGCAAATTTATATTTTTATGAGATCCTGCACTATTTTTTCTTTTTGGGGTTAAAACCCCCTCCTGTGTTTGTTTTTGCCTTTAAAAGTAGATTATATGAATGAAGATTCAAGGATGAAGGTTCGATTTCCTCACCTTCCAAAGTAAATTACGTGAATGAAGTTTCAAATTCCGTAGGGCCACGTGAGTATGTGAATGTGTCTTGCCGATGAAAACAACCATTCAGTAAAATGCAAAATCAAATTGCCAAACTCACAACTAGATTCATCTAGCAAGAAAATTTTTGGCTTCAGTAAATCATCATAATCCTACAAAGTGATTACATTATGAATACAAAAGACATGCCAAAAACCCAACCAAGCAGCTACTCCCTCATTTAATAAAAATGAGGACCATACAAGAAAACTGAAGGTGTTCCTATGAGGGAATTCGAAGAAAGATTATCAAAGTTGAAATTTATACGACTTCTTGTTGATGATCATCGGTTAAAATTAGGATCAAACAAGAAAGCTGGAGGTGTTCCTCTAAAAGAATTCAGAGACAGATCATCAAAGTTGAAGTTGATACATCTTGTTGATGAGGAATGCCATGCCAATCTACAAAACAAAATGTGGTTCAGAATGCATTATTGCCCACATTTCTTATATTGCACAATACTGCAAACCAAAATAAATAAATAAATAAATCTTACATTTCATAAATTAAGATAAAACCTAAGAGACAGAGAGAGTGCACTCTGGTGGAGAACAAAGATTGTACCAGGAGTAGCTTGCAGTGGAGGAATATTTGGCAGAAGTGGACTACTGTTGAAACAGATATTATGATGATGTATTAGAGAATGCCATCAGATACGTTTCTTTGCAATAAAGACACAATAGAGAAATATATGAAAGCAAAGTAGAGAAACAAAAGGCTTGACCCTTGGTGATTAATGAACTACCAATATGTTTACATATTTTCTTTTTGGGATCTGACATTGTGATGCTCATATGTGCCCTAGCCCTTAACAACATTTTTTTGACACGAAGCATGTGTATAGCTTTAGATTTTGTGACAACTTTTGCTCTAAAATAATGTATGACTATTATTTGAAAAAAAATGCCGACCAGACCGGCACCCCATGGTATAAAACAACCCAGGCATAAGTAAACATAATGAACAATTAAGTGCAGGCATAGAAGTTAAAAAATTTAGGGATTATTACAAATAAATGGTGTTAATGACCCATATTTACCATTTGATGGAGTCGAAGTCTCATAGTTTTGAAAAAATAAAGTTGACCAAAATACTGACGTGGACATGAAAAAACAATGTTCATTCGCCAAAAGGTACCACTTTTAGGCACATGGGTACACCACTTTTTGTCTTGCACAAAAAAATTGCACAAAAAGTGGTACATATGTGCATAAAAGTAGTACCTCTATGTCCAAAACAAAAATGGTACCTGATGACAAAAAGTGGTACCTGCGTGCACAAAAAGTGGTACTTATGTGCCTAAAAGTGGTACCTTTTGGCAAATGAACAATGTTTTTTCATGTCCACGTCAGCATTTTGGTCAACTTTATTTTTTCAAAATAATGAGACTTTGACTCCATCAAATGATAAATATGGATCATTAACACCATTTATATGTAATAATCCCTTAAATTTATACATACTTGACCACATGAGCAAAAAAAGTTAAAGTTTAAAAGTTAAAAGAAGTTACCTGTGATATGATTTTCCTTCTTAAATTTTACTTTTGGGGATGACCATGCAAGAGCAAATGCAACAGTGCATTTTCCATGAGGTTCAACCCATGCGGAAGCAAAAACCGCAGCACAAGGTGTCTCTCCAGGTGATGAAGGCATGCTAGGTCCAGTATTGAAGTTCTCCCGATCAAAGTGTCCATCCTTTAGACACATAAACACAAGTCAACAATAATAAAAGTATGCATAATGCTTTTAATTGGACACTTGACATGCTTAAGAGGGAATTGTTGTACCAAGGAAAAGTATCATAGAATTAGATAACCAGGACCATTTTTATTCCTAATACAAAGTTCCAAAAACAAAAACCATTCAACGCTACAGAAAAGACTTGTACTGTCCAAAACAGCAGCAAAAGTAACGTTGACGAAGTAAGTGTAGAAAGGTCTATAGAAACCTGATGGTTAAAAACATTACCTTCACCATTTTACCCCACATAACTTTCGCAGTAATGCAGCTTCCTTCAGACAGCCCAAAACAGGGCTGAACAGTCACACTTACATTCTGAGTTTCACATGCAGCTATGGCAAAAGTAACAGCAGGGTTCCCTTTTGCGGTCCTGAACACGTGCATTATAATTAGAAGCAGTAGCAATCCAATTAAAAATTCATATTTTCAATGATATGATACCAAACCCCACATAAAATATACATATTTTGGTTCAAGCATACATAAATATCAAAAAAATAATTTTTTTTTCAGAGACGTGATAAAGTGATCATCTAACATGTGACATATTGGAAAGGGGGCCAGGTGGGCAAAGTATGTACTGTATGTGATAAAGAAGATATATAAAGACTCCCAAACAAATATACTTGGCATCTTGATATTTATATCTATGCATATATAAAAGGATGGACAAAGGAAACAAGAACCATGCATGTAGAAAAAGTAATTTCTCAGTTCAAGTTCACGAAATCCTATTAACTAAAACAAAATAGAATAATCATATCAGGATAAGATGCATCATTAATGTCAGCCTAGAACATTTGCCAGGCTGATAAATCCATATCCAAATATTGTCAATCACTGCACGTCCAATACAAAAGGAGCCACTGATAAATTTAAATCAAATTTGAATCCATCTTAGCTTGCCTTCGGGAGATTGAAAGTGAGGAGAAGCAAATTGAACTGGCCAACTTTGTAAATCCATACTCTCTATGAAAGATGGTCCAACAACACCATGTTGTCTAACTATTTGTACAACACCGGTGGACATTCTGCAGCTTATGGCACATTGACTGCAAGGAGATCGAGACTGCAACTAAATGAGATGCAACAATTACTGGGTTGCTCCGATTCTAACCCTTTTTTTTTTTTTTGGGGGGGGGGGGGGGGGGGGGGGTGTGGTGGTTTGATGGGGGGCAATTTGCTCTTTAAATTTGATGGCCTAAATCAGGGTTTCACAATTGTCCATCATCCCTACCAAGTCCTTTGGTTAAGATTAGGTTTTGTCCAGATTTACATGCCCATAGAGGAGGCCACATCCTAATATCACATATCCATTTTATCTTCAACCAGGGTTAAGTTGGGAAATTCAAGCCCATCTTGTATGGACTTAAGATATGTATAATATTACATATATAGATCTCACGTATAAAGAGGGGGATAAAGATTCAGCAACCAAAGCAAATTCAACACTATCATACAAAAGGAACACCACGCTTGGCTGGATCCAAAAGCTGAAACATCTCATCTTCAATGTGCCCAAGCCTTGCTTGACTAAAAAAATCGGAATCAGAACTTGTTAAATGGTGCTATATTTGGCAAACAATAATTTATCAAGAGGCCCATTGGTTTGCAGCTCCTTAACCCCTAGGCATTTAGTTTTGGAACATATAGGATATTATCTAGTTGCTGACGATTTCATCAGGTATGTAGATATATACGTGTGCGTGTATCTATATCTGAATCTGCAAAAATATGAATTCATATATATAAACTATAAAGACACAAGGATCTTTATTTTTTAACCTGCGTATCATATATATGTGTATGTGTATCTGTGTAACCCTGTGATCGTATATTATATATATAAGCAAACTAGCATGAACCAAGCTGAGCACGAGCATGGCTGAACAATCCGAAGCCAAACTCAAATTTGGCTAAGACAAGCTCGTCTAGACAAGTGCTGAGCATGGATATACCACCTTATCAAGCCAAGCCCAAACAATCCAAAGCTCGTCCCGTTTCACTTGGCTCGACTCATTTGCAACCTACTAGTTAACCAAAAAATTTCTAGGATACCCATCTGGGTAGTTACTTTATATCACAGTAGTTAAACTAAGTTCAGGTTTCCGTGTTTGGCATACTATAGCAGGCACTTCATCTAGTGCTACGCAGATATGATGACAATATGGTAATGAGAATTCAGTAGTGTCATAGGCTCATAGCTACAACTCTAAACACCAGCACACATAATTGCACCTAGCATAGGTGCCCTACATCAATGTCAGCATAGCATACAGGGGAAAATGATCAAATGATATAATAAGAAAAAGAATAAATATATACATATATAGATATATAAATTTGAATGGAAATGCCAGAAATAAAGAAACAATCATTTTGTTGATCACCAAAAGGTTAACATAGGAAGAAGAAAGAATAGGATTAAACCCCCCGCCCCGCGGGGCACTCCTCCTCACACACACACAGAGACAACCAGTAACTTCACCCCTTATGTTTAATGATTTTTAATATATTAGTCATTTAGTTGAAATGTTCACCAAAGTGAGTTCAACACAATGTATCAACCTCAGTAAGGAGATATCCTCTCCTTATAACTGAGGTGTCATAATATTAATGTGACACAAGTCCTTTATAATTTTAGAAACTTTAAACAAATAAAAAAGAAACAAAGAATGGAAAACAACAAATGCTTAATTAATTTCTACTTGGGTCAAACTGATCCCAAATCAGTCATTTAAAGGGGTTCAATTATAGTATGAGAAGTCAGCTGCAGGGAGAAAGTCTCTCCTTACAAGAATGGAGGAAAGTATTTTCAGTTTTTGCTGCAGGAAGCACGTCAGATGGTCATGAAATTGCAATTTTTTTTAAAAAAATAAAAACAACAACAAAAAAAGTTTATAACAATGAGTGCCTTTCAAGGAGGATGGAAATCTCGGTTCTAATGCTCTCATGTTCGGCAATTTAGGCAAGAATTCAAGAAACTAGCACCAATCTTCCGGTTTTTATGGCTAAGTTCCTAGGTCCAAAATATAACAATTATCCATTTTTTTTCCTTCTACCAAACTCCAACAAACATACGCAAACACATTAACCTTTGGACTAGACCTGATTTTTATTTCAAAGAAATTTTTTCTTTTTTCTTTTTTTTTTTTTTTTTGGCATGTAGTGATTATATTTCAATTTCTTTTTTTCTTTCTTCTTTATTTTTTCTGATCTTTGAAATTTAGTTTCATATTTACAGGCTGCATAATCTATTATCAAAACAATTCCACTCCAGAGTTGACCATACCAAAGCAATTGTGTATTTTCCTTGTTAGATTGACTTGAAAATTTATTTATTTGTTGCTAATTATATTTTTTCTTTTCTTGCATTACTTTAATTATGAAGAACAGAAATTTGGAAGTTAGTTGACACCATCCCTTCACTTATACCTACAAAAACTCAGCAATTACTCCAGAATACATTGCAAATCAACCGTTATATATAGCTATTAAGGTTTCATGACTTGCTTGTGATGTAGAAGTACGCCAGAGACTCCATCTTTGCCTCTATTTAAAAATTAAAAAAAAAAAAAAAAAAGGGTGAATAAAAGTCAGTATTATATTCCACTAGAGTTATAAACAAAAAAAACAAACAAACAAACAAAAAAGTCAAATGTACTCACATGAATGGTTCATTCACATGATCACCGGATAGGTGTGAGGTGCCTCCAATTGAATTCTGTGCAACATAAAAAATGATGACTGAATATATAAGAGCTCATAGTCCATATTTTCTTGCTTGAAAGCAGAACAAGCTTACCGCCCACATAAAAAGAAGGCTAACTTTTGCCCTTTCCTTCCCAGTATTTACTAGCTACAACAGAAACAAGCCACACGTATGTGAGCAAATCATACAATAATGGTGATTCTAATAATTCTTGCACTAATATCATCAATATATATATATATATATATACATACATATATGTATATCTAAGCAGGAGATAAAAATTAATCATTCTTCAGAAAGATGACTTTTTTAAAGCAGTTCTTAAGGTCATCAGACTACAGAATCATTTATTACTAATTTATTTAATTACTGGTAGACCAGACTAAAGATACTGGGTGAATTAATCACTCTTCTGGTACAAAGGACTAGAATTGGTCTTATTTATTTATACAGTCCTATACTGATAATTGTGTAAAGAAAGAAGAAGGGAATTAACTAAGACAGCCGTTCTCTCCTCTAACCAGTCAGGAATGGCGGGACGGATATTAGGCCAAGAATTCAATAGCTCAAGAAAAGCAAGTCATACATCCATATTATTGGTTCTTGCTTGTATAGTACAAAAAGTTACAATCATAACTTTTATGAATTAATTACAATTTTGTAGAAAAAGAAAGAAAAAACACTCCTACACATGGTTATAGATAGCCAATGCCCCATTTTAGAAGGAAACAATATCAATTTAGTCAACAAGAGAAGCATCACACATTGACACATACATAGGATCATGGAAGGAAGTGATATAGTAGCAAGTAGCGACCAGAAGAAAAGAAAATAACAGAAGACATATACACCTCTCAGATAAATATATTCTTATAGATTCACATACACAAAAAATACTCAAGTAGAAAGAAACCCATAGCAGACAATTACAACCATGTTGTAGAAATTTGATGAGCAACAATTTAAGCCAGAGTCCAAGCCAATTTGTTATTCTGCACTTACTATTTTTAATCTCACTAACTATTTCTAATGTCACTAACTCATCCTCCCCATTTTTTGTGTTGATTGGTTATTCTAGCAAACAACCTAAGAGAACCCATCCAGTAGCCGTCCAACGCCTATACTGGATGTCTCAACCGTAAAAACTTCTGGATCTGAATCAGAATTAAGTCAATGCAAAACATATCTTTAGCATCAAAAGAATATAAGTTGAAACTCCTATCGGCTAAGTCATTTCACATGGCTGATAAATAGATGATGAAAACCCACTTAAATATTAGTTCCTTTTAAGAATCCATATGGAGAAAAAAGAGTACTATAACTAACAAAAATATTTGATATGTTAGGGGTCATCGATTCGTATAGTGGGAAAATTTTGGGCAGTTGAGCGTGATAGTGTAAATAACGTCAAAGATTAACTTTATACCCGATCTACCCCTTCCTACATCCTCGATTAAGGACCAACACCGGTAATACACCTATTTCATATTAGAAATTAAATTTCCATACCGTGTAAACAAAAACAGCAGTAGGAAGACTGCTATCTCTATAATTATGCGGTATAAATGGTGATATTTGCCAACAAGACACTTTTAGCTCTGGATCTGGTTCACCTGAAAGTAAGAGTAACATAATTAAAAGAACATAATGAGAGAAATATCTATATGTTAAGTAGAATTTTAGTCCAAAGTAGAATAATACCTTCATATATTGTCCATGCCCTTGGAAATAGTGTATGATATGTCGAATGCTGACCACTCAAATTCCAGCCCCATGATGATATACCTTGATCACTAGGTTTCCTGTTAGAGAATGAGATAAAACTAAGATAACAATCTGCACATCACTATATAGTTCCATAGAACTTCTAAGTAACACTAAAGAAGAGTACACTTGCCATTTAGACATCCCTAACTATAATTAGTTTATTTATGTAGTTATGTTGCACATGTAATTTTCTTTATAAGACATCCTCCTAATGAAGACAATACAATGCCAGCCAATTCACCACAGATGAATTGATGAAGGTAAAAAATTAAAAATAGCCATATCCAAAGATCCTAAAACAAGTCATGTACCCCAATTTTGGTTACAGTTCCCTAATTCCTTGGCCTCTCAGTCCCAACCCCTCCAAACAAAAAATAACAATAATGATAATGATCATGATGATGGCGGTGGTGGCGGAGACGACAATATTACATTAAATCCCATTCATTATGATATTTTCGTACCAAAAAGTTCCAAGCAGAGGCATTCGAGATATCTTCCATTTGATGTTGTAATGTTAAGTAGAATTTAATATATCTTGCAATTTACATGAGCCAACAGAACTCAATGTTTCTATATACTTAATTCTCACAAAAATTAACAAGAACAAGCAGAGTTCAATTGTATAGCGTTGTCCCTTTCAACATAAATTCTAAAGAAATACATAGTTGTCAAAAGCAGTCTGCTGCCTTTTTCTCATTTAAAACTTAAGAATAGAGAAGATCTGATATCATGCCAAAAACTTACTGCAGAAACCTAAATGTTGCTGATTAAGTTAAATTATAAATAATCTGCCACTATCATTAGATCTCTTCGAGGACACAAAAGTATACACATGCATCATTTTGTGGCTGGATACTCTTTTCATTTTCAGCAAACAGTCATCATGCAAATTAGCTATTTAGCTATAGTAGTGAGATATAGAATATACCTAACAGGTCAGATAGATCAATAGGTAGAGAAAACAGAGAGTTTCAAAAGCAATTTCTTTCCGCCAAAGTGAATTAGCCTCTCTAAAAATAAAATCTAAAATTGCATGTGCAAAATTAACATGATAAGAGTTTGCTCAACTGTAAAGGTGAAATAAGTGATGGTTTCACGTAACTGGGATGCATGGCTGCCCATCATTGTGTCAAACAGACCAAGTTGGAAGCAGACGAGGAGACAAAGCCAAAAATGAAAGAGCGGACGTCCTTAAAAGGGTTGAAGTTATGGGATATGTGAGAAATATCTAGATTAATCCAAAATATAATTAATATATAGGAACTGTAGTAATACTTTGTACAGTATGCATAATGTATCTAAAAACTAGATAACTAATAAGAAAACACAGTTAATTCTGAAAGATTCACATTTTTCGATATTAAAAATTGAACCAGAGAGCCCCTCTCGCTTATATTCTGAAAGCATTGAGAGCCAAAATATGCAAAAGGAATGCCTTTTCTTTCTTTTCACCTTATATGGCCAAGTTCATCTAATTAGGCAGAAAAGTTTAAAGTTTATTGCATTTTTTCGCTCGGCTCAAATTAGTTCAAAATTTGACCAAAATAGACTTGACTTCTTCATGTGGGAACCACAAGTGTCTAAAGGATAAAACGAGTAAGATATATAGGACTAGATTTTAAAAGTGATGACATAATCCAATGTAAAGTATTTCCTGTAACCTAAGATGACTAACAGTTTTTCTTAGTATTATTATTTTTTTAAATGTATGTTTGTGTTTGTTGTTGGGTTGGGTGGGAGTAGTAGTAACATTTAAATGCAAAAATAGATTTTATGAACACTAAATCACTTCCTTCTGTGCTATTATAAGTGTACCTGGAAAGATTGACAGCTGTTTGGGCTGCAATAACTTATTTTACAATTTTTTACTTTTTTTTAGCATAAATCTACTACATCAGAGAGAGTCCAAAAGTGTGCAGCAATTGGAGATTGAACCCACAATCAATTCTTTGGACACATCAGCTTAACCATTAGGCTACCATGGTTTCTTTTGATCTACCAGTGGTCCAATACATCACATCTTACTGATTCATTCCGAGTTATATAAAAACACAAAACCATTCAACCATATGCATGCCGCTTTAGATACACTCTGGACCACATGTTTTTCTAGAAGTTGCCACTCTCACACTACCTCTCTCCCTCTCACTTCACAGTCACTACTCTTCCTGTGATCAATCTATGAAGTAGAAAAGCTCATATACTCGACAAAAAACAATTTTTCTAGTCTATGCGGTACAAAGAATATCAAAGGCTATTGGAAGGAGTTGGAAAAGCTTGGATACTCAGCCTACTCAAAGATCATCAGCAGCCTCATAAAGGAGTCAGAAGCATATATGAAGAGTTGCACCAAATTCACATAAGCTTTTGCTGTGAATGGTAATGTTCTTATTACGACCTTAAATGGACAGTCTCCTTTTGAAATGCTAGTATTTGAAATAAAATTTCTCTAAATTTCTCTCTCACAAGTGAATTTTATTTCGATGAATCATATATCATTCGTCAATTCAGCAAAGCCTCTACTCACCATTATTAGAAATAGATCTAAAAGATGCATATGGTCTGCTTCAGAAAATTACAATTGAAATATTGTTAGATATTTACGTACCCTAAACCTTCATGTTGGCCCGGGGCTAAAACTGATGCATAATTTTTATTTCCTCCATCTCGAGATATGAAAATCTCTTGTACCAAAAAAATAAATGAAATAATACAACGTGATACTTTGTCAGGCACAATAAACTCTATACTTTTACATCTCAAAAGTGAAGAATTTGTGGTTTATACAATCAGATAGCATTTTAGAATTTTTTTTTTAGTACTTGGATCTAAAATAAAATAATAAGAAGGAACCAAAACGCTTCTTGGAGGACAGAGCAAGTCTCATACAGTAGTTATTTCCACATCATACTGGGTAACAATGCCTTTAGAGCAGCCTAAATGATAGCTCCAAACTATTTCATGTCACCACAACCATCAACTGGATTTCTTTGCCTCTGAGGATACGTTTTGACATGGCAACTCAGTTGGGTATGCAGCAAACAGAAAAGCAAATTTCTAAACAGTTGGATTTCTTTAAAGTCAATCACTTGATACATATATATACCACTAGTTCGTCATCCCTGAAGATTTCATAAAGAACAAATAAAGAAAGTTTCCACCAAATAACCACAATAAAAAGAAAATCCCCAAAAGTAAGTCCAGTTGATCAATGAAAATCCTTTCACACCAAATCTTTTATATCCTAATCAGACTCTAAATATATGGGATAAGAGCAAGGATGATGACGATTGTGACTATCAGACTCTAAGCTTGGGCCAAAATGGACATTTGGGTTCCACATATCTCTTAATTATCTACTAGGTCAAGGTCTTAAGCTTATCCTAAGAAAATGTTACAATTTCAGGATCCTAGTAAAGATAGTATAAGTTTACAGTTAGACATGAGACTATTACCTAGAAACAATCACTTTAAGTGTGCAGCACTTGGAGATAATAGCTAATTATAACCATTTTCATGCTCGTATCAGTGAATTTATAGTACTTATTTCCCTGCAATATACGACAGTTCTTTTCATAATCTCAACTGAAGTAAATTGGCAACAAGTGCTATGTACCCCATCAAACTCAGAAATTGGATATAATGAGTTCAAAAATATTATTTTTAACATTCCTCAAAATTCGAAAGAAATTTTTGTCATTATCTCAGTTATCTACCTTATTTCACAACATAATAGAACATGATACCAAGAGTTTGTAATTTCTCATACAAACAACATATGCATTTAAACATTCTTTATACACACGCATTCTTATTGTTATTCTGCCCCAAAAATCTGGAGCAAAATTCCAAAAAAAGAGAAAGACAGAAAGAAAGAAGGAATATCCAAGTTTTGTGTGATAAGGTTACATAAGCATAAGTTTACTGTTGGAGGCAAGTTTCAGTTAGCAAACTGTACATATCTTGGACAATATTTTGGAACACAACAGAAATGGAGCAAAGATTATCAAATACAATCTTCAATTTTTGTTGTAAGCTAAATAAATGATGACACTTGAATAAAACAATTTGAAAATTTTATCATCAACTCCTGTAAATTGAAATGAAAGACAATAAACATAAAAGGTAACTGAATGCACATACTCACAGAAAACACATTATGTGAATAGCACATAGATGTTTCCTGGAGCTAAATAATAAACAACTAGCAGATGATGAGTTGAAGGGCAGAGCTTTACGGAGAATTGATTGGCCATGACAGGTGAAGCCTCACATGTGCCCGGAATAATTTGCCAATGCCTGAACTCGCCTCCAAAGCCTCTAGATATGCTGCCACTTCTGTGAGTAAAAAGATTAATCCCCCATCAGATGCAGAAAAGTAATAAAGAAATAGCCGATATCTCATAGATCGCCCACTACTTACCCCATCCCCCCAAGTGGAACCCCATGGGATGCTGATTGCTTGCAACTCTCTCGAGTGAAAGGATCAATAGGTGCTTTCTGTAGAGATCAGGGAGTAAGAATTCAAATTTAAGTTTCAGGACATAAAAAACAGATGTGGTTTCAATTTTAATTACTTCTTCTCAAGCATCAAAAAGCACTTGTCCTCATCTGTTTCTAAGTTTTAAGAAAATAGAAAGAAATTTCCTCAAAATAAATAAAATAAATAAATAAATAAGGAAAAAAAAAAGAGACTAAATATGAATAGAATAGAGATAGTTACCCTTCCCTGAGAGGCCTCTTCCCTTACATATGACCACAATCGTATGCCAAGTCGAACCTATATTTAAAATTATCAACCACCAAATGAGAAATGAGGAGGGAAAAATGTGGTCACACAGGACCTTTGTTTACTTTAGAGCCAGAAAATGGATACATCCACTAAGGATGGTCACCATTTTTATTGCTTCCATAAATGTAACACTGAATTCCTTAAGAATACTAGCATGGCCATTTAATTTTCTTCTCCAAGCTTGTTCTGGAGTGTAGCAGCATCATAATCAAGCTTCAGGCAAAGTTTGAGGAACAACAATTAGTTCAAGCACTTGTCCTCATCTGTTTCTAAGTTTTAAGAAAATAGAAAGAAATTTACTCAAAATAGATAAAATAAATAAATAAATAAGGAAAAAAAAAAAAGAATAAATATGAATAGAATAGAGATAGTTACCCTTCCCTGAGAGGCCTCTTCCCTTACATATGACCACAATCGTATGCCAAGTCGAACCTATATTTAAAATTCAAATAACAATCACCAAATGAGAAATGAGGAGGGAAAAATGAGGTCACACAGGACCTTTGTTTCCTTTAGAGCCAGAAAATGGATTCATCAACTGGTTACCATTTTTATTGCTTCCATAAATGTAACACTGAATTCCTTAAGAATACTAGCATGGCTATTTAATTTTCTTCTCCAAGCTTGTTCCGGAGGAGCAGCACTATCATAATCAAGCTTCAGGTAAAGTTTGAAGAACAACAATTAGTTCAAGTTAAAAAGTAAATAAAAAAAGAAACTGATAAAAGCTGTGAATGGGTATAAATAAGATGTCACTAAAAGTAATGCCACACAATAATCCACCCCCCACACCAAGCAATCAAATCCAAATTCTTCTTTGTAGACATCTGTTAGCCTATGTAATTCAAAATAACAACTGACCTGTTGAACCTGTTGAGGCTTGAATTCAAGTTCAAAACCACCAAGGAACACAATAAACAAGAACAATGACACTTACCCTAAAGAACAACAGCAAACACAAACCAACAATTTTGTGATAATTTGAAGATGTTTTCAACTTAATACCTCTTCTTTAAAAAACAAATTTCAACTTATAATTGACCAACATTCAAGAGTAGATAAATAGCACCCTTGCAGTATGCACAGTCTTTAATCCGTTTATATATATACAGTGTACAGTCTTAAACCTTTAAAACTACAAATTAACCTGGGTCCTATACTGAATTTGAGAAACACAGTGTTCTATACTGAATTTGAGAAACACAATAAAGAAGTTGCATTACTTGAGAGTAGGAAAAGCAAAAATTGGATACATTGCACAAAATTTCATCTTAACAACACCGTTGGTGCTTACAAGGTTTAAATAATCTATGCTTAATTTTTTTTCAAACTGATTACTGATGTGGCTGATGAAGTTTTGAAAACTGAAAGGTTGCGATTGCAGGATCTTCCAAAAGTTCTCTTCTTTCATAACTGCACAAATTGGCTCAATTAAGCATTCCATGCTACAATCAGCTCACTCATAGAAGGGCAAAAAATGAGCATAAAATATTGAAAATGAAAAGCTCTCACATTTCACATTACCAGCACACATAATGAACTCGTAATTAAAAAAAATTAAAATTAAAATTTTTTTTAAAAAAAATCTGTTTAAATAGAACTTTGTACTCTTATATTCTTTCTCATGATACAATTCTTTTGCAGTGCTCTGTCTAGTTTCAAAGTTGATAAAATATATAATTTCAATAAAAAGACTAACTTTTCTGTGTAAAAATGTATTATATATATATATATACCAATTCTGCAACTAAATGTAGACAAGCATACCAACTGCAATGTTGCCCTGTTTATATACTCTTCAGGAGGCCATGAATTCCTTCTACAATGAAATATATTTCCGCTAACCATGTCGACTAATTGTATAAACCCCAGCCAATCAAATGAAACCCATACCTGTATCTATATCTATACAATCCAAAAGTCTCAGAACCATGAATCTAACAATTCTTCCGAGTCCCAAACTCATCCAAAACCCAAACCCAAGTTAGCCAATTCCTCTAAAAATCTAAACTTATATGTCAACGACAAATGAGTGCCTTAAGTTGCAAACAACGATCAAAGTTTATATCAAAAGCCAAAACAAATATCTTCTTTGCAACGATCTTAGACTTCAATCCAGTAAAAAGCAAACCTTCGAAGCATACTCATAAATCTTTCTGGGTCTAAAATTCTCTCTCTAGAAGTGCCAATCGGCAGCTATCACCATCCTTGAAGCACTGATATACGATCTGATTAATAGGGATTCGAAATTGAGGGGGAAAAAATTAAAGAAATGATTAGAAATTGTTTTGTTTTTCTCTCTGTTTTTTTCTTTTTTCCAGTTTGGTGTTGTTCGTGTAATTGGCTGTTGTAACTGGCTACAGGGAAGAGTGGAAGTATGGGATCCATATTGTGTAATCGACGGCTGAGATGAGAGGAAGGTTTTGTTAAAATGGAGTTATTTATTTTAAGGTTCTGGGCCCCACCTGCGTGATATTTCTAATAGAGATCCACCGACTGCTCTATATACAGATAGAGAGTATCTGCGAGGCATCCTAGGGTTCCACGGGGCGTCGGCAGCAGACTCGGTCCAAACCAAGGCCGGTTGGGGGTACCAACAGGCGCTTCCTTGAGCTCGCAGGCTTTCCGAAGAGCGTCAATATGAAGCATGTTGCTTCATATAGGAAGTATATGGCCCAAGTATGCCGAGATGCCTAGTTTCCAGGTGTTTCTTTCTTTTCCAACACCTGAGTATACTGTATGGACCCTCCTAGATCTAGGTGTTTCTTCCTCCTAACACCTGTCTAGACTATAGGCTCCCCTCTGAGCGTTTTAGTGTTTTCACAATTTCAGTGTTTTCGTGTATGCTCTTTGAGCTCTGTTTTTAATAATATATATCTTTTACTGGTTATGTTTGTTTATGTTGTTTTTTCTGTTGATTCTAAATTATTTGAGTATATTGGGGTAATTTTGATTTTATGTTAAAATTGTTAATTTACAAACTATAAAACTTTAGTTTGATTTCAAAACAAACAGGCCAATAGGTGTTGCACTCCCACCCACACACACACAAATCCATGGCCTAAAACAAAACACTCATGAAACCAAAATTTCTCTAAATTCCCGAATCCAACCCGTTCTAAAACTCTGTATTGCAAAATTTTGGCCTAGATGGGGCAGTCCTGATTTGACACCTATTTCGGTAGCGGTATTTTCAAGCGCCCTGCGAAAGGATCTGAATCGGAATCGCAGTCGGCACCACCAAATTACACCATCCCGTCTCCACACGGTTGTAGATCTGATGACTGGCGATGGAAAATCAGACCAGATCTATTAGATTTCTTATCTTTCTTTTTCATACTTTTTTGATAGTCATATTGTAGCTATATTTTTAGCTTTACTACCAATGGCACAGTATATAATGATCAATAATATTTTCGGAATTTTCTTTTTTAATATTTTGTAAATTCAACGTGGTTCTCTTTTCTTTTTCTTTTTCGTTTTTTTTCGGGCAACAAAGTGGTTCTCTTAATCGTTATTGCTAGTTAATTCTTTCACTTAGTTTTCCATCAATGTGGCTGGTCTAGAACATTCTTCACACCACCCATAGAACTTGATTAAAGTATATAAAAATAATGGAATTTGTTCTCATAAAAACTACTCCTAGTGTATTTTAACCAATATTTTACATGTAAATATTTTAAATGATGAATTATACTTTACATGTAAATATTTTAAATGATGAATTATACTTTACGGAACATGGGCCATGCTTGAGCGTGACTAGCACCACTTTTTAACATTCAAGGAGTGGAGCATTGGTGGTGAGATTTTGACCTATTTGATTGTGTGAATGTTCTCACCCCTTAAGAGTTTTTAACTTTTTTTTATCATTTGGAGATTAATCTAGTCGTTCCTTTATTATGTGGGAGGTTAGACATCATCCACTACAAATCCTCTTGTCTGGATCCAAAATTCCGTACAGGTTGAATCTCTGATCCTTCTAAAATGTAATTAGTTATTTGACAATTAACTGATAGTTTAATTGAGGCAATTATGCGGACCGCACTAAGTAATTGGAAAAAAGACTTATTTATTGTTGTTATACATTGATTGAATTTTAATTATTATCTTGAAAAGTCATAGCTATCTCTTTATGAATAAAGAGAACTTGCTGTGGTTTTTGATTCCATTTTATTTGAATTTTCTATTTTCTTTCATTTTCGTTGGTCTTAAACTATAAACAGATGGAGTCTTCAATAAATTATTTTTCCAAGTGAGCCCACTTGGACCTTCAATTCATCACCCAAATTCTAGCCGCGTGCAATGTACCTTTCATGGAATGTTAATGTTCTTGATGATCTAAATGTTTTTAAATTATTTAGATAGATAGATTTTACTTAAATTATTTAAAATTAAAAAAATTTTAATTTTAATTTAAGTGTCATTTACGGGAAATAATTATTTTTAAAAGAACTTGTATTTTTTGTTTGTAAAATTACTAATTTATTTTTTAAATATTGAATATTTAAATTTTAAAAATATATATATAATATATTATTTAAAAAAGAAAATCGACACTTATTCAATCAATGTAATTTTTCTTTTATCTTTTAATTTTTGGTTTTTTTTTGTGCGTGGAGTCTGTGGACGAATTAAATTAGAAATGGTTAAATAATTAAAATATAGTATATATATCATTAATGTGCGGTACAGATCGTAAGAGTAGCTTTTTCTCTCTCGTCTGTAAAAAGAGAAATGGAGGTGCAGAGGGCATGTGCTTTCTCTCTCTCTCTTCTGTAAAAAAATCTAAGCCTTTTCTCTGTAAATCTCCACGGTACTACATCTCTTTACTATCCAGGCATTAAATTTGGCGCATGTGCTTTCTCTCTCTCTCTCTCTCTCTCTCTTCTGTAAAAAAAAAAAAATCTCAGCCTTTCCTCTCTCACCTTCTCTCTCCATCACGTGCAGAATGACAACAATCTCAGCCTTTTCTCTCTCATCTTCTCTCTCTCCATCACGTGAAGAATGACCAGAGACAACCCAACTTCGGTGCTTTACAAAAAAAAAAAAAAAAACCCTTGATTCCCTCATTTTTCCTTCTCTCTCTCTCTCTGTCTCAACCCATCTGCAATTAAAACTTTGTGTTGGTATTGGTCATGAATTGAAGTGGTCAAAAAAAATTTAATTGTTTTTTTTTACCTTTCTTGTCAAAGAAAGTACCTATGTTATCAATGTCACTAGCTCTGTTGCTTTAGTATTGTTGCAGACTATGTTATCAATGTCACTAGCTCTGTTGCTTTAGTTTTGTTGCAGACTATGTAGTTTTGTTGCAGACCATGTTATCAATGTCACTAGCTCTGCTGCTTTAGTTTTGTTGCAGACTACTCAGGGCATAAGAAAAAGGCAGAAGTGTAAAATACTCGTACAAATAGCATTTAAAATAAGGGCAAATTTCGTAAAATTCCCAAAATTATTAATAAATAATCATAAAACTCCAATCAATTTTTAAAAACTCTCAATAATATAATAAAGTTATTATTTTACCCCAACTTTGTTAATTGGGGCTGTTAACCCAGCGCGTGATTAACAATTGCTTTGACAATTTAACTTGTGTGACAAAAATACCCCTACTATCACATGTGCCAAACAAGTTATGTGTATTTAAATCTGTTATACTGAAAATACCCCCAACTATGTAATAGTAAAAACCCACCAAAGTTACCTTCACGTTTTACCAAAGTTAACTTCACTACGAATTTACCGGTTTTTAAATTTCAATCATCGTCCTCTTCGCTCTCTCCCGGAGCTATTGTCGGAATTACGATTACATCTATTGTATTCATTGTTTGCTTATCTGGGTTTTACTAATTTTGGCGAAAGACTACGAAAGAAGAAGAGGATGAGATTGAAGATTGGGAGCTCGAATACTGGCCGCACAGATATTCATACGAAGAGCTCAGTGAGGCCACCAATGGCTTCTCCAAAGATGAGCTTCTCGAGACTGGTGGGTTCGGCAAAGTATACAAAGCAACACTACCCAACAACACAGTCGTCGCCGTGAAGTGCGTGAACCACGATTCGAAGCAGGGTTTGAGAGAATTCATGGCGGAGATTTCGAGTCTGGGTCGTCTTCAACACAAGAACTTGGTTCAAATGCGAGGTTGGTGTCAAAAGGGCAACGAATTGATGCTTGTGTACGATTATATGCCGAATGGTAGTCTGAATCGATGGATATTCGACAAACCCAAGACATTTTTGGGTTGGGATGATTGGAGAAAAATCCTCGCCGATGTTGCAGAGGGCTTGAATTATCTCTACCATGGTTGGGACCAAGTGGTGATTCACAGAGACATTAAGTCGAGCAACATTTTTGTTGGGGTCTGACATGAGAGGTCTGTTGGGTGATTTTGGTCTAGCGAAGTTGTATACGCAAGGGGAGGTGCCGAACACGACGAGAGTGGTGGGGACTTTGGGATATTTGGCACCGGAGCAAAAATATATAGAAATTTGCCCTAAAAGATGAGAAATTATTGTATGAGGCAGCACCACTCCAAGTCACAGTCGCCATCGCCGGCGAGCCCTCTCAGGTAATTGCAGATTCCCTCCCCGTTCCAGTTCACCGTACTCCAAATTCGCCTATTTGACGGCAAACCAAGCAATCTTCTAAGCCACCTATAGAGCAATGAAGATTCACATCGTCAATTTTGGGATCGGGCGATGGCGGAGCTAGACTACGAAGCCAATAATCAGCGTTGAACAGAGATCAGCGTTGGTGACCATAGGGGAAGACTCCAGTGAAGGCGACAATGGTTCATACAATAATTTGTCCTAAAGGATAGTATTGGCACTAAACGTGGTCGTTTTGACCTAAATGATAGTATTGTAATTTCAAAAATATAATTTTTTAGTTTTTTAAATAAAAGGGAATACATTTCACATACCCTTAACGCCTAATTGACAGAGTTGGGATAAAATGATAACTTTATGATATTATTGGGGGTTTTAAAAACTGGTTAGGGTTTTATGATCACTTATTGATAGTTTTGGGAGTTTTACGAAATTTGCCCTTAAAATAATAAGAAAAAAACCGCAAAATGTTATTATTATTACAAGTTTGTCAAGTTATTATTAATTTTTTTTTTCTATTCTTCTCTCTTCATTATCTCTCCTCTCCACCAACAACCCACGCCCCACTACCACCAACCCGTATCGCCACATCTAAAAGTGTGTGTGTGTGTGTGTATATATAATCTAAATTCTCTTGTCCCGTTTTTTATCTCCTCTTCCTGTTCTTCGATTTGTGGGGATGGGAGATCTGATGAAATTTAGGGATCTCTTTCCTCTCTTCAATTCGTGCCTCATCCTGCAATACAGACCCTAAATTGGCTTCCTGAATATCATTATTTTCATGATCTTCTTCCTTGATTCTGTACTTGCTCTGAGTTTCCTCAGTGGGTGAATCAATCAATCCACTGGAATCAATCGACAACCACCATGACCTACAAAGAACTCCAAATGCTGAGGAATGATTTCAAGAGATGAATCATCTATGGAATTGATGGTCTCATCGGACCACGGATCTTCCATAAACACATTTGAATTTTGTATGGGAAAGTGAGAAGGGATTATTGTGATTGATTAAAAAAAAAAGAATTGAAATTGATTTTATTGTAGATTTGAAACTGATTTTATGAAAAAAAAAAAAAAAAAAAAAAGAAAAAGAAAAAAATGAAAAGATGTCTGTGATATTATAGGTAGATTTAAATTTATATTTAAATTCGTATTTTTGAGTCCGATGATATAGTTAATAGTTTTACGTGGGACCTGAATAATTGAAATGAGACATAAACCTACAATAACACATAAGTGGAATTTAAGAGGAGGGGTGAAAGTAGGGATGTCAATTTTTACTGCTCCGTCGGGGCTCCACCTCGTCCCGCCCCATTAATAATGAATATGGGAACACTTTTTATACCGTTGGGGCGGGCATGGACATAAATTTTGTACCCGTTGCGGGTCATGGGGCGGGTAAGGGTTTAGTACACATATCATAGGGGCCCCGCCCCACCCCGCTAAGCATATAACTATATTATATATATATATAATATTAATTACATCTTAATTTGGGATGTAAACTTGGTATTAAATTTGTTTTTATTTTGGTTATGGTGGAAGTTGAAGCTTAGAACTTTTTGTGATTTGGTTTTTATTTTTGTTGGGATACATAATTTCATTTATGTTGTGCCATTTCCAGGCTTTCCACATTTAAATAGCACGAGCTTAAGTTCCAAAACGTGGGAGAAAAAAATTTGTTAGCGGGGCGGGCACGGGGCACAGTATTTCCCAACGGGGCGGGGCTGGACATGAAAATCTAACCCGTCGCGGGTCTCAGGGCAGGCATGGACTTGACAAAAATTAAAAAGGGCAGGGCGGGATTTAGGGAAACCCGCTCCAAACCCGCCCCGTTGCCATCCCTAGGTGAAAGGGTATGATATGAATATGGTATTATTTCTTTTTAGAAGATTCTTTCACAAATATATATATATATATATATATATATATATATATATATATATATATATATATTTATATTGTAACAGTTTCTTTGCAAACACAATGGGCCTATTGGTGTTTACAAAATGTAAAGGAAGTTACAGTGGAACGTTCAACAACGTTTAACCAAACTTAAAACATAAATGATATTGGCAAACGCTGCTTTAAGGGCTGTTTGTGTTTATTGTAGTTCATGAACAAAAAACACTACTAAATAAAAGCAGTTTTCAAACACCCCATAAACCAATCATCCAAAATTACCAAGAACAATAGCCACTGCAGTGAAAACTGGCTAACGGGCAATATCAACTAGATAAAGAGTGACAATGAATGAAAAAATCAATCACAATTAACACCTATTACCTTGCTTAACACCCTTAATATGCAGCCATCACAATACAAAGAAGACCTCAAGACTTCTAGACCCAAACATAGCTGAGAAAATAAAAATCTAAACCAAGGTAGATAAGAAAGATTGTACCTTGCTTGGCTGCCAAATGAAAATTTCAGCATAAATATGTGACATATATATAAAGCATGAGGAAATATGTTTTAGATGTTTCATTCAAGGTAAAATACCAATACAAGTACTAACAATATGGTAATGCCCGTTATTCAATAATGCCCAGGTGGAACATACAACTATAGCCTAACCAATGGGCTTATTCATATGGGAGAAGAGAACAGGCTGTGCACTCTATCGCCCCAAAATAACGATGCTTTCAATTTCCATGCAACCTCAGCCTCGATACCATATCCTCAGATTTCTGTCCATTAAAAATAATAAAAAGAAATCAATGCAAAGGGATATACATTTCCAAGATGGAGGAATGCAAACCATGTCAAATGCAAACATGAAGATTATACATTTTTATGATTGGCTAATTGGCTCACAATTGCCCAAAAGCAGTCATTAGTTAAAATAAATAAATAAAAATTAATACCCTCTTTTCGGAATTTCTTGGACATTTGCAGAACCTAAAATACATTGTAGGGGCTTGCAAAAATTCTATTTGATTTTTTGGATGATAATTTGGATGAGCTGTTTCATGACAAATTTTCCTGAAGAGAAGTGACTCTCCTTCTTTTGAAGAGATGAGAAGAGCCTTCCTCTTCATCAGACAAGATGCAACAATATTTGTTCCACAGAGTGTACTCAAACAACTTAAAATGCTGAAGAGAAACAACATTTCGACCTACACAACCTTGTCAGCAGGACTTCAGTTGATCTAAAACGTCAACAGGATCACCAACTTTAGTCACTGCCACAACACTAGTAATTTCCTTACTTTTGTTTCAGCTGATGAAGCAACAGGAGCTTTGAATGCCGATTGATTAAGAAAAGTCCATTTATTATTTGAACAAATTATCACATAGGGATGAGCTAATACTTCAAATTTTGTTAAAGTTAGGAAGGCAAACTACCTGTTCAGTGTAAGGCAGATACTTCCCATCGAATGTTAGAACTACACGATCCTTCCCATCCACGCCTTTAACTTTGTCAACCGAGCAGTAGAAGTCTATAGCTGACATGCTGAACAAGTAAAAAGATAACAACAACTAAGTTAAAAATTAAATCACCTCCATAAAAAATAAAATAAATAAATAAATCATTTTTCTAGCAATCTATGTTAGAATTTTGGAGGGAAGAGGCTATCAAGAGAGAGCTTGCCAAGAGCTATCCTCTATATCTTTATGACCCAATTTGGATGAACATGCCTATCATTTTGTTGGCGATCGCATGTAGTTTCACCACAATGGAAATTAATAGGAACAATTTACACAAGCAACTCAAACGGGGAATTTTAGTGGTGAAACCAACGTGTTTGGGGTTCAAATTAAGGTGCTTATAGACATGTGATCATCCAAACGTAGCTTGGCACATGTATTGTAAAGCGTGCTTAATAGAAGATTCAAAGTAAGCAAAAGAAGAGCATCCTTGAGACATTACTCGTACGGAAAAAGAGACTTCTTCAGTTTGTTGTATCTGGCAATTCAATCTACATCATATGTTGAAAGTGTATTTAAAGCCACTGGATTAATAGACATCACATCTGGTGAAAAAATATCGAAGGAGAAGTGAAAATTAGTTTGTCCATCTCTAATTTTAACACATTTTCTAGAGTACTTTCATATTTTTTGGAGCCGCCATTGCTTGGTGCCATGGTAAAACCTCATGCTGCAAGAATGGAACATTGGTGCGGTTCAAGTCTAAGAGAAACTATGTGCAAATAATGCTATTTCTAACACCCCATATTGATGGGACAAACCCGAGCAATGGCATTTTTTCATATCAAGTACTTATAGAAGATCCATGGAATTAACCATAAGTGTATTATGACCATGGAAGGTTTTGAAAATTGGGGACGCAGAGATGTGCAATACATGATCCTGAACTAAAAGTTTCTACATTTAAACCTTTTATGAGTTAGAAAATATTGGTAGAGTATCGATTTGATGGGAGATCTATATATGATAATTATGTCCATTGGTGGTACTTGAGACGTAATGATGCAATATGCAAAAATTGCAAGATTTTAGCATGAAACTCAAGAGATGGAATCATGTATCTTACAACTTGCAAGATGATGTGAAAGCACTCTTCTTCAAGAAATTATTCAACTATTGCTGGTCCTAGGGAGAGGCTTCACATAACTAAGCAGCCGTGTACATTGTTGTAAAAAAGTAAGCATATTCAAGTAGATTATGAGATGTGCATAAAGGGGGTAAATATCATGGAAAGGCCTTATAGAATTCAAATGGAAAGCAACCACCTAACAAAGGAAAATTGATATAGTTTCCAGAAGTGCATACAAACATAGTTTCCAAAAAGCACTCTGAAAAAGGCCAGAAAGGCTATTTGTGAACTGGAGAAGGTAAAGTTAATGATACATGTATAAAAAATTGGAAATTGAGATAGAATAATAGTAATCAGAACTTACATGCCGTCACCAAACTCTTCATTCATAACATCCTTGATGCTCTCACCAAAATGCATAATTGCTTCGTTCAATCTATAAAAGTGGAAGTCAGCAAACGGAGGAACAAACACTAGGTAAAAAAAAAAAAAGTTATACCAGTTCAAAATAAGTAATTCAACCTATTCTGAACATCAAGATTTTCCAGAAATGAGAATGAATAATATAATAATTATGCTGAAGGGAATATCGATATTCGATAATGCTAAAGAGAAATGCTACTTTTGAATCCATATGATCATTAGTTTTCCGTGCTTATGATACCATAACTGCTCTAGATTCCTAATTTTCAAGTAGGGATTGTGAAACAAGAATAGCATCCCTATCACTTAAAAGATCTATAAGCAAAAAAATGAACATGAACTTTGAAGTTTGTGCCATCCTATATTTATAATCTAGGATACATTCCACATCCATGACAGAATATATGAGAATCTATGGTTCTTGTTGAATTTCTTAAAATATGCAATATGACCATGGTCTTAATTTGATTTGCAGCATGCAGTTGAACGTGTAAATACTCCCACAATTGTAAGAAAATGTATCAAGGTCTTTTTAATTTAGAAAATATGCCCTCTTCCTCAATGTTATTTAATTGAATACAAGGATCAAAAGAAGCTTTTTTGCAGGAAATCCATTACCGTACCCGGGCTTTGATTGTAACGGACCTTTCTTTCAATCTTCATGTTTCTCGATACTTCTAAATGTCATAATTCATAAAAAACAATCTTTCTCCATGAGTTACTATAAGAATGTGATTTTAAGCACCAAGGCAAAAGATATTCTCGATAAAATGTGATCCTGAACGTGATTAAATATACCCATTTTTGCATTTCAATGCAAAAACAGAAATTTAATCTACCATGCAAAGATAATGAATATAAGGCTCGAATGGCAAGCTTAAATTAAACCTAGAATAAAATTTGTTATTCTAACACCCCAGAACCATTTTTTTACATGATTCATCTTTGTCAAAACCATCATTTAATGGAAGCTCCCTTCCTATGCTGCATGCCAAAATAAGTTCATGGAGATTAAAAGCCACTTCAACAAGAATTTAATCAAAATTAGAGTTACTTTCAATCTTCTTCTGATTTACAAAACTAGCTATTAGCATTTGAAACAAGTAAAAACGTAGCGTGATGGCTAGACTACATGTCTATATATTTAAACATATTGACAAAAGTAGACAAATACATAATACTACAAAACTTATTACCTGATATCCAATTAGTTTCTCTTGCACTAGGTGTAAGTTGATCCCACGCTTCAAAGCTACCCATAAATTTTAACAGAGCAACTTGGCTCCCCAAGTACCTATGATTTCAGCTTATAACTTCATCTTTGCTTATTCTCTTTGGAAAAGCACCAATTTTGACAATTACAAGATATATCCAAAAAAAAAAATCATTTAAAATGATATGACCCAGAAATTAAACTAAAACTCCTTTTGTTTCCAAGTGATAGGAAAAGTGTGAGGAATCCAATTCTGTTTGAGCAACATTGCTATGGAATAGATGATTATATGATCATATAAATTGATTATTGGTGTGCCAACACTATGAGTATACAAAGATAGCACATTTATTAAAAAGTATAACCCACAAAACAATTAATAAAAAACACATCAACAATTTCAAAAACAAAACGAGACAAGAAATAGAAAACGACACATGCAAATGAAAGTTTTCAACAACAAAACAAAGAATCAGAAAAAGGGTCACCTGTAAATAGCGGGTTCTTGAATCAAATTGGGGTCGTAGGACCTCATGGGGGGCTTCATCATCTCTTCTAGGAGCTCCTCGGGCAGGTCGGGCAACGCAGCCCGGAGTTTGGGGGCAGTCTCGGGCTTGAGTTGGGCTTGGCGTCTGAGAAGCTGGGCAACGTAGACGTTGGTTAGGCCGGTGGCCGCCGCTATCTGACAGAACGTCTTGCCTGACCTGCGCTTCACGGCCAGTAACGAATTCACTGTGTTCGCTTTGCTCCTTTCCGTTTCCATTTCCTCTTTCTTTTCCTTTTCCGTTTCCGTTTCCGTTTCCGTTTCCTCTTGATGATTGGAAGATTAGGGAAGGGCCACCCCTACTTATGGAAAAACAAAAGAGGAAAGTGCCGCCCTTTCCTTAACTTATTATGTACCGAGAGAAGCCACCTGTGTGCTGTGTGTCCCATCAGAAGTGATTACTATCTAGTAAAAATTAGATTTATTTTCCCTCTAGTTACGAAAATATAGGTAATTATTCCTATTTTTAATTTTATTTTTTTAAAAATAAAAGAAATAATGAGCATTTATTAAACTATATTTTTGTTTATTTAATTTTCTTTTATGCTGTGTGAATCTGATGGCACATTGGTGTATACTACTTAGTTATGTGAGAAAATTAATTTTGAATTTAAATAAGAAATACAGGCTTTGGCAGTTTTTGCTAAGTATGAATTATTTAATCTTTTTTTAGTGCCACCATCGTGCACAGTATAGGGTGGTTAATTACCGAATTGCCTTTTTACAAATCTTATTCCAAAAATATCTTTGACTAATAATTGTAGATAAGGCTACTACCGGTATCCACAAAAAAGGGTAAGATAAAGAGAGGTTTTATGTAGAGAGCTTGCAGAAAAGTTTAGCTCAATTATACACCATGATTTAATTTTATGATGGCTTTGTTGAAACAGTAGCTGGTTGGCCGCCCTTATTCATTTTCTAATACCGAATTATTGGATGCTTGGAGTACCGAAAATATAATATTTTTAAATAAAATCTATGTCGGGACCCACTTTTCAAATAAAATCTATGTCGGACCCAAAACTCATAAATTACCCATTTTCAGAAGAAAAAATAAATAAAAAAACAAAAAAACAAACCACACTGGCACATTAGGTGGTATGTACATTTCTTATCATCTAAGGAAAATTATTTGGAATTCAAGCACTACGTAATCATTTATTTTGAAAAGTGAAGAAATATTTTTCACTAATTATAAATTATTTAGCTCATATATATATATATTTTTTTTTTTTTTTTTGGGCATGATCAATCTTGCACGACTTAGGTGATTAATTATCAAATTGACCTTTTGCAAATTTTAGGGTGTGAGTAGCATGGAATTGGAGTTTTGAAATTGAAAAAAATAAAATAAATAGTTCAATTTGCTTAGTTGCTTTTCCATGCAGCCAATCATAGCTTGAGCCTCCGTTTGTATACATATGAGAGAAAATAAAAGAAATGATAGCATTGATTATAAGAGAAAATAAAAAGAATAATAACAATAATCTTTATTCATGTTTGGATAGATATAAGAGAAAATAAATGATAGCATTTTTGTTTATGTAAGATATAGGAGAGAAGAGAAAAAAAAAAAAAAAAAAAGGATAACGACTAAATTATTATCATACCTTTTTATTTATATGGGACATGCGTGGATTAACTTTTTCTACCTTCTAATTGTTAAGGGCACTTTTGAAATTATAAAATATTACTTAACTCATTTCGTGTCTACTCATTTATTTATTTCTTTTCTTCTTTTTTTTTTGTTTCACTATTCCTCCAAATCCCTCAATCCAAACGGAATCTTAATCTCTTTCCACCTTGTGTACCCAAAAATATATTTGACCAATAATGACACATGGACTATCCCCACACCCAAAAAAATGCAATAGAGATTAGAGAGAGAAAGGGAGGTTTTACTTTTTTTTTTTTTTTTTTTTTAGAGCATTCAAAAAAGTGGGGTTTCCTCAATAATACACCATGATTCCATTTTAGCTCAATTAACATGTAAATCTGTCAAAACGATGCTTTCACAATGGCCCAATGGGCTTCCTCTTGCAATACTGGATTGAGAATCACTTTAATCCAATGATTGCAGAGGAGAGTCCACCATGAAAGCTCGCCATTAATAGTTTTTTCTATCACAAATCAAAATCATGTTTTGGTTATAATTTATAAACATGAGGCTCAGGCCTTGTTGAACCACCCTAATGGCCCTGTCAAATATTAAACTTGAACAATTGGGCTTTGGGCCTAACATTCCCAACTTATAGCCCGAGTTTTTATTATTATTTTTTTTTTTGCAAGGCAAGAATAGTTAAAAGTTAGATTAGTAGATACAAATCGTCGAAATCTGGAACTCCAAAGTCTACCGGAGGCACTAACTACTGGGCTATCGAGGTATCTGCGCCCACGTTCTGTTACAAATTATTATTTTTCATACACTAATTTATTCTGCAATAAAAATTACACCAAAACACAATAATTTTGCACAAATTAGATCAAAGGAAATACTTTATTTTATTTATTTATTTATTAAATTTTTTATGTATTTAGTTGCATGCAAATATATAACCACACACATATATAATTGTTACATTTAATAAAATAAGAAAATTACTAAAATAAAGCAGTAGAAAATTTGACTTCATGTAGAGAGGCACACAACGAACAGAAGCCCTTATTTTCATATTTGCCCTTCCTTGCCTTAATTCTGAATCTACTTCTTGGAAGAAAATAAGTTTCTTAAAATTTTGAATCTCGAATTGTATTCCCACGGAAGGGAATGTTGAAGGTAAAAAACCCCCTAATCCTTCGAATCCTTGTTACGGAGTCGATAAATTATACGCCCCCTGGTTGAATCATAACGACTTACTTCAATTTTGACTCTATTCCCGGGCAGTATCCGTATAAAACTACGTCGGATCTTGTCGATGGTCAACTCCAAAATACAATCCAAATCAGCTCTCTATGGCTCATAAAGTTGCCTCAAAGATAGGTAAAAGATACAAAAGAATAGTGAAATAATATGCAACATGATAAAGGAAATAAAGACCACCAAAGGTTGTAGTCTAGCGCACTTTGTTGCCTTCCAAAGTAAAAAAAACCGAGGGTTCAAGTCCCACTGGGAGCAAGTGGGTGTGTGAGTTTTTGTTTTTTATTAATATAATAATAATAATAATAATAATAATAATAATAATAAAGGAAATATAGAGAAAAAAATAGCTTATGATATTGAGAACAGTTTAGATGTAGTATTCACCTTAAAAAAACAAAAAGTTTAGATGCAGCACTCTAGTCTTTGAAGACTAACTACTATTATAATAGTGTGGGTTACACTAAAAGTAAGCAGAATGGTTACAACATAAATGGACTCATATTAAGACTATTAAAGTAAGTAACAAAATGTGAGAATTGGGCCATGTAAAAATAGGCCGTTACATGTACTCATAAATAGATGATCCAGACGGCTAAGCTTGGACCATCGAACACTTAGCCCAATTAATATATGAACTTTTAAAACTTTGAAAAACTATACTATGTGGCCCAAAAAGGCTTTATAGCCCTTTTATATTCAACAAGTCCAGTGGTCCCCATTACATGAAATACTTTTGTGCACTTATAATATAGTGGTCCCCATTACATGAAGTGCTATTTGTGTAAAATATAGCCCATTGATGCACCCACTGACAATCACATGGAATGGTACTGGACTTCAGGAGACGAGATTGGTCACAACCTCAGAGTCATTTATTTTTACAGGCTCCATGCACTAAATACGGCTAGATAAAATAATTTTGAGATCGATATTGATTTTATTTATTTATTATTATTCTTTATTTTTTTTCCTGTCAACTTAGGAAGAGAAGAATTTGAATACTGACACATTTGTTCGAAAAATTAAATTTTTTTATTAATAATGTCACTGAATAATGTCCAGATTGATATTAATTTTAAAGTCGAAGAGTTTGAATAAAATGATTAGTCGAGAAACTCAATTAAAAGTGATGTGCACTCAACTAAGAGTCATGTAGAATCCATTTGAGTATATCTATTGGATGATGAGTTTTTGGCCCCATTTCATTTTAGGTCTTCGGCGTTTTGATTCTTAAGTAATCATCTTAAACCTAAATCACACAATTTTTTTCAAAGGATGCCGTTCTTATGCTCTGCGTGCAATCTTGCTTCAGTTCCCCCTATTTGTAACTTAATTATGTCACTTTGATACTTTCATTCTTAAATTCACTTTTGTTTTCATTTTATGTGACTTAAATTTTAACTAATGCGAACCTTTCAGATGACCTTGCCTAACTATCATCAAATGAGCATAGTGTATGGTGGTTGAGCACACACCATCTTAGTTGAATTCTGTTCATGTATTTTGACATGAAAGCTGTAAGTAAATAAATATGCATTGAAATATCATAAAGTTAGGCTAACCATAGTCATAATTAGTTTCCATTTAAGCGAAACTGGATTTTCAAATAAAAAAAGAAAATTTATGTCATATGATGTCACATTGTAAAATATTAAACAATTAACCAAAGTCACCATTTTATTTTATTTCTTCCAGAAGGTGACAAATGTTACACTTAGTCGGATGTTGTCTCTGACTTGCTTAACAGTGGCAGACTAATAGAAAGTATCTAAATTGATGTCACATGCCAAACATTGAATCTCTCGGACAATTGATTTTTAAAATTGATTAATTTATAGTGATTGGTCATATGTCACACGCGAGTCTTCCTATAATTGAGGCCATTAAAATTTTAGTCACCAGACTTATCACCAAGACCAATTATATTGGCATATAATAAACTGATACATATATGTGTGTTTGTAATTGGTTCTGAAAATAGTTATATCGCAACCTTCTGCTTGTCTGATACATACATACATATATATATATACATATATAAAATTTTATCCTTTGTACAAACTCCAAAATATTCAAAATATTGTGTGACATCAGCTTATTTTGTATTACTTGTTATTTATTTTTCTCTTCGCGTCTCTGTTAGGTATTACTATCATTGTTACGTGTATAAATAATTAAATTATAATTTTTACATGCCATCATATATTATATTTACGCAATCATGACTCAACACACACACACATATATATATACATACGTACACACACATACATATTTGCATTTTTTTCCAGTTTGCACAATATCAACACCATTCTTGCACCTCCTAACTAAAGTAGTCATTGTTTTAAATTTTAAAAAATGGCTAATAATATGAAATCAACATGGAAAACACACATAGGTGAAGAAATTTTACTGGGAAAAATTCCCCAAAATGGACTGTTACAA